AGAACGTTACGTAGTGCGCCGGGCTCTAGGTCGGGTAACTCGATATTGTGCCTGTACATACAGCAGAGCGAAACGTAAATGGGCCAAGCTCGAATGATGGGTGGGTCATTACATGCAACCACTTCTTGGCATCGTCCGTTTGCAATCTTTGATCACTACTAGATCCGGCATAAGCTACACCGATAATAAGACATGATCCGATTGGCTTTTCCAGTCCTCTTGAGGAACTACCTGGGCCTACTCGATATTCCGCCTTGGCTAGAACCCATCACTCCCTGACGGTCACTTAGCAGTATCACCGAGGTAGCACCACACGGTACAGTCAAGGTTACAACTCTCGGAGTTGGGCATAGGATTTTCTGCTATTGCTATGGCCATGAAAGTAGAGTAAAGGAAAGTGTCAGAGAAGATAACGAATAGCTACTCTACATCACATTATCCGATTTCTAGCCACTAAACAATCCCAAAACATAGGTCTGGGGCGAGTACTCAGTTTCCAAAAGCTCTAATTCCTCAGCGTACAGGATACCCTGCTCTGCAAGATAGAGACACGCAGTTAGTCTATCGATCTAACCGAGGCAAGTCCCTATATTGCTAGTTTTTGCTATAAGAACCCCCTGGCATGACCGGTGCCATTTCGGCCTCCTTGGCAAAGCAATGCGCTTTGTCACCTACATACAAATACGAAAGTGTTTAATCCCCGAGACTTATCCCGTTCTTACTTAGCAGGACTTCAGATAGATTAAGCCCTCAGTATGCTAGCTAAAAACATCTTGCCTTACAGTTCACCAAGATCGTCACCTCGAGTGTCTCACTATAGCTTTAGGGTAACCTCTTTTTACTGGGCAAAGATGAATCAGCCCGTAGCGTCTCTCCCTCGCTCGTAGTAACTTTTGAGATTTGCGGTAGAGCCCTAGAAGGCTATCACATCAGAAACATTGCCATTACTGACAAGGACTATAAAAAATTGATGCAAAGCTATAACAGCTGTGGAAGGTGGCTTCACTTCATATTAAAACCAATCGAGTATCCTAATTCGGACCGGATCTGCTCCTTGGCTGCTGCCCCCACATCAAATATTTTCGTACATGTATGTACAGGGCTCATTCGGCAGATGGGTTCGGAGGTCAGTAAGATGCTCTGTGAGGCGTGTGTAATTCATGTATAAATCGTACCAGATTGCTCCATTACATCGCATACAGAAGCAAAAGCGCCTCTGAATATGCTCACAGATATCCTCACTCGTACGCTGAGTCAATATTTGCCCCTGGCTCTCGTATTCTCTGGGTTCATTTATCTAGCCCGCAACTACTATAATCGAGATTTGAACAAGTATCCAGGACCGCTGGCATGCGCTTTCACCGACTGGTACAGGTTTTTCAAGGCATGGCAGAGACGACCTGAACAGTGGCATATAGATTTGCATAACAAACATGGAGATATCGTCCGCCTTGGGCCAAACTGCCTGTCCTTTTCCAACCCAAAATCTGTAAAAGCTATATACGCTTTGGGCAAAGGCTTTACAAAGGTACAGTCATGTTACTATCTTGTCTGATCTATTCTCTCATGCTAAACCCTGGCTAGTCAGACTTTTACCCCGTACAGATGGCCACTTCAAAGGAAGGAAAGAAGCTACCAACACTATTTAGCACCCAGTCGGAAGAATATCACTCGCAGTTGAAGCGCAGCGTTAACAGTGTCTTTTCCATGTCGGCCCAGATGCAGTATGAGCCTATTTTTGACTCTGTCAACGACGTATTTCTCCACCAGACACAGGAACGATTTTCGAACACTGGTAAATATTGCGATTTCTACCAGTGGCTCCAATTCTACACTTTCGACGTTATCGGTGAACTAGTTTACTCTAAAAGGCATGGCTTTTTGGAGAGTAACTATGATATCGAGGGAATCGTCAAAGGAAACTCGGCCCTATTCGACTATGCTGCCGTGGTACGTAAGAATTTATATTGCTTTTTTCTCTCCATGTATCGACTAACGGTCAGCAAAAAGGTGGGACAGATTCCTGTTCTAGACAAGTTGTGGAAAAAGAACCCAATTAAGTTGCTTGCAGCCAAGTACGGACTGATCGACTCTTCGTATCCTGTCGCAAGCTTCGCAAAGGCCCGCCTTGCCGAACGGCATCCTTCTGGAACGGTCTTCTCGAAGGAGAATCTTGCTTGGCAAAGAAACGATACGAATATGCCACAGGACTTCCTCTCCAAGTTCATCCAGGCCAAGCATGACAGACCAGACTTTTTCAACGATCAACTTGTTGTTACCATGTGCGTCTCCATGGCTTTTGCTGGATCCGAGCCTGCAGCCGTATCAATGAGTGGTGTTTTCGGCTCGCTTCTGAGAAACCCGAGATGCTTGGAAAAGGTGTATGAAGAGCTTGATCGCAAAGCATCACAAGGCCACTTCAAAGATAACGCAACAGGAACAGTCACGTGGCAAGAGAGCCAGGGACTTCCCTACCTTGATGCCTGCATCAAAGAAGCTTTCCGCCTCCACCCCGCCCCAGGCTTGCCGTTTGAGCGAGTTGTTCCACCCGAGGGAGTGATGATCGACGGTGAGTTCATCAAAGGAGGAACAATCGTCGGGTGCAATGCATGGGTTATCCATCGTCGACCCGAGATTTTCGGAGACAACCTCGACGACTTCGTGCCCGAGCGCTGGCTCGTAGACCCCTCCAAAGACCGCGAGGCCGAAATTGCTCGAATCAAAGACATGGATTATTACATTATGAGTTTTGGCAAAGGGCCACGTGTGTGCCTTGGAAAACACATTGGCATGATGGAAGTTTACAAGCTCATTCCAGCTGTTCTTCGAAGATTCGAGGTGAGTTTAAACCCCCCCTCGTTCTCCTGCGTTGTTTTCTACGTCCAAAAATGGCTAATCTATTGCCTCAAGCTTGAATTGGAAGAAGGGTCGCGTGAAGCTCGTTTCCGCAACGGCTGGTTTGTTAGGCCGGTAGAACTAAAGGTGAAGTTTACAGACCGGAAATTAGTTACACCAGCATAAGGATCTATGATTGATAGACGAATACAACATAATGATCCTACGGGAAAAAAACTCCTCATCCACCCTACTTTCCTACTGAGTAAGGAAGATAGTACGCCTACCCCTTTATGTTTGCCATAGCCCAACTCCCTTCGTCGTGCCAGATAAAGAATATCATATTTTTTTTGGCCCTCTATTCCGCTTCTGAATTATCGATTCCTCAATCCTACACCCCTGCCCTTATTCAAGCACCTTCACCTTCACCGGCCGTGCCCCAAGCTCAAAAAAAGGCTTGGCGCCCAGGTAAGCTTGACTGCGACCTCTGGGTAAACCCGATTTCATTCTGCAGTAACGTCTTGTTGACCGCAACGCCCCCCCCCCCACCTACCCCAAAAAATCACCAAGGTGGCTTGTTTACAGCTCGAATTTGAAAAGACATCACGGTCTTTTGCAATAAACTTATTGATTTGCCTGATCTAAGTGTCTCTGTACGTCATGACAAGAGTGCAGTCATTAAAATTGGGCGGAGAACGCGGTCCCTAAACTCACGGACGAAGCGAAGAGGTTGGATCTTAAGGATGACCATTCTCAATCCGGCTAAGAGAGCAACGATGTCAGAGATTGTAAAGGATGAGTATTGGGTCAAAGATGAGTAAGTCTTGAAGGGATGAGATAAATGGGTAACTAGAAGAAAAATGCATTCATGAAGGAATATCAATTGTCAATGGCTATATATGTTTTGAAAATATGACATGAAGAAAACATAATGGTAAAAGTATTCAAGAGAGAAGAGAAAGTGGGCATGAAGCAAAGGCAAAGAACAGGTTCTTTAGTAGTACCCTTTTTACTTGATGTTGGCAATGGCAGCAGTCCAGGCAGGGTCGCGTGCAGGGTCGGCGGGCGTCTCGACGCATTCGCTCAAGAACTTGTCCCAGCCGTCCTTTGTGGCAGCAGCAAGGCCGGCGCGGACTTCAGGGCTGCACACTGTGCTTACGAACCAGGCTGCGCTGCCGAAGCTCTTCTCGTCGTCGCTGTTGACAAGGGCAAGCACGGCTACCAAACCGGCGTCGCCTCCTGCAGCCTTGGCCTTTGCAACGGCATCTGCGCCAGCGACACTGGTGGCGTACTGCTCGACGTAGTTGGGCATGGCCATCACTAAAGAAGGCGGGTGGTCAGTATGCATGTTTGTTGGGGCTTGGCATGGTGGTGGTACTTACTCCTTGTTCCCTGTCCGGGGCGACCGGGGAAGTGGTTCTTGTTGTACTTGAAGTCGCCGCTCTCGAATAGCTCATAGGCAACGATTGCGGCCTGCTCTCCCTTTGAGGTGATCTTGTAGGTCTTGAATGCCTCGTTCAAAGCAGTGGCGGCCTTTGAGGCATCTGCACACTCGTCGGGGAAGTCTGCACCTGCGCAGGATTCGGTCTTGGGGGCGATGGCGATAAGCGTAGCCGCAGTCAGGGCTGCAGGACCGCCGGCAGCTGGGGCGGGATCCGGGCAGTCAGGCAGGGGTGCGGCAAGGGCGCCAAGGGCGAAAGCGCCCGCACAGAAAAGGTTCTTCTTGAAGCCCATGTTGAGGATGTTTAAGCTTGATGGAGGTTGTTGAAAATAGAATTCTTGGTGGATGTGGTGGGGAAACCGGGTATTTGAACGAATAGGCAATGGTGGAGAAAAGGGAGTGGTTTGAATGTTCTGTTATGTGATGATGTAGAAGAAAAGAATGGATGTACAATGCCTCTTAACAGAATAGGCGTGAATGGTCTGTTCTTCTGCCCCGCAGAAAATGAATGGCTAAATAAAGAATTCAAGGATGGACAATGAGGCAGTGTGATGAGGAAGCAAACGCCCAAGATATAGGGCGGTGCACACAGTGGACTGCTTCTTTCAGGCGTCCTACTCCATGTGCCCTTCAGGAGTGGTGTAAGCGTAACCACCGATCAGCAAGCCGCCACGGCCAATCATTTCCTTTGCGCGCGATGGCAACGCACGTGACCAGGCGTTGTGGGCGGGTGATTGGACGAGTGCAGTTCAGCTGGTGGTCGCGTTTCGAAACGTGAAACAGACGGCGACAAGCCTTTGCCAATGCCATTCAACAACTGTCAAAATCGACTCTAGCACCACTACAAGTAAAATTGCAAGGCCATTGTGCTACATGAGGCATCCTGTTCAGCTCCAGCAGCCAGCGCATGGCTGGCCGGCAGCGGGGCATAATTGCAGCGTGCTGACCAGCCCTTCATCTTGTCTCAGGCGGCCTGATCTGGCTGGACGCGGGCGCACGTGCGACTACTGAGCCACCTGCAAGCCACTAACAAGACGCCCTGCGCCTTGCGTGCCTTTTCTGCTTTGGAGCGCCAAGTCCATGCGCGACGGCTGCCTTGTTTACTAATGTGTTAAGCCTCGCTCAGCTGTCTAGATCTCTCTGGTCAGCCACCCGCGGCTTGCCTCTGCTCCAGAGTACATACACTAGCCACATCTTGCCATACACTACTTATGTCGGCAGCTGCTTTTTAATGCATAGTTCGTGACATCATTAAGCCGGCCCGCGGCTCGCCCCACCAAATCGTCTCCAATGCCGTGCCCCTCATGCTCGTCCGGCGCCCGCAATTGACACCCTCACACTCTAAAGCTTCTTCTTCTTCTCACCAGCTCAACACCCTCAAAGCACCGCCAAGATGCCCGTAGAATCCAAATTCGACCCAAAGGACATGCAGTTCAGGCGCCTGGGCCCGGCCGGCCTCAAGGTGTCGGTCCTGTCCCTCGGCGGTTGGTTGACGTACGGAGGAACCCAGAAGGGCTCCATCGTCAAGGACTGCATGGAGGAGGCCTGGAACCACGGAATCAACTTCTTCGACACTGCCGAGGTTTATGCGGCTGGAGAGTGTGAGATTGAAATGGGCAAGGCCTTCAAGGAGCTGCAATGGCCGCGTGACGAGTATGTCTTGTCAACAAAGGTAAGTAGCGCCATGTGCAACACCATTCCATGGTTCAGACCGACATGTTTGATTGACATGTTTGATTGACAGATCTTTTTTGGAACACGGAGGCAGGAGCCCAACACCAGGCAGGTGGACCTCATCCCGTGTTGCTTCTTGGCTAACCAGTGTGCAGGGGTCTGTCTAAGAAGCACATTGTCGAGGGCTTGAAGAGCTCTCTGAAGCGACTTGAGCACTCCTATGTCGACATTGTCTTTGCTCATCGCTTCGACCCCGAGTATGCAATGACACGCCTTTTTCGTCAGGTGCATTTGCTAATGTGCTTCTGCTAGTGTACCGATGAAGGAGATAGTCGAGGCCTTCACCCAGACAATCAACATGAACTTGGCCTATTACTGGGGCACTTCTGAGTGGTCTGCAGAGCAGATTCAAGAAGCGTGCGACATAGCAGAGAAGTACAACCTCATTGCCCCAGTCGTCGAGCAGCCGCAGTACAACGCCTTCCACCGTGAGAGGTTTGAGAAAGAGTATGCTCCATTGTACAAGAAGTACCAATACGGTACCACCATCTGGAGCCCTCTGGCGAGTGGCATGCTTACGGGCAAGTACAACGACGGTATCCCCGAGGACAGCCGCTTCGCAACCAACTCCGAGTTCTTCAAGAAGACGATTGAGGAACTCAAGAGTGACGAGGGACAGGCTAAGATCAAGAAGGTTAAGGAGCTCACCAAGATTGCAGAGAGGCTTGGAGGCAACACGACGCAGCTGGCGCTTGCCTGGGCTGCAAGCAACCCCAATGTTAGCACCGTCATCCTCGGAGCATCGAAGCCCGAACAGGTCAGAGACAACTGTGCTGCCCTGAAGCTGCTGCCCAAGTTGACTCCAGAGGTCTTGGAAGAGATTGAGAAGATCCTTGCCAACAAGCCCTAAGTAGTGGAAAAAAAAATTGATACTACCCTAGTCTCAGAGTCATGTTGTTGTGCTTGGTGAGGTGTCATGGTCATATCAGGTCAGGCCAAGACCGAGTAGATAGAAATATGCACGTAACCTTGCCACCTCGCACACACACTCACACAAATAGCAAAGTTACCGTGAAGACGGACCCGAGGCAGAGAGGTGAGTGCTGCATGCACAGTGGGCAAGTAGCATGTCCGAAGTGTTTCGGAGAGATCTATAGCGGCCAAGACTAGCTGGTCTTGTATGACGGCTACTTGACAAGCGAACCCATGGTCACGGCCTTTTGGTGGGCAGGGTAGGGTAGGGTAGATGAGTGTTTGGGACGTGAAGGTTTCTTTGGCGCTGTGCCGCGGGGATGCATGTGGCCATGGCCATGGTCATGACCATGGCAGTGCGCCACCTGGAGACGGAGAGCGAGGAGGGGTTAGCTCGAGCCCCTATGCAGGCAGAGAACATGGAGGGCAGAGCCGTACCTGGACAGTGACGATGCACTAGACACCCACCAGTCGAGACGGGGCGGGAGCATGGGCTGATGGCTCGGCCAGACGCTGCTGTCGGCTTGTCGCCGTGCATTGGCCGCTTCGTCTTCCAAATCCATGGGCGGGCCTGTGCCCTCGCGCCGATCAGCTTGGGTGGGTAGCGCATTGCTGTGCGGGCGAATTGGTACTAAACTACCGTCGACATCGCACCGCAAGTGTAAGAGTTGTTCTCAGCCGTCGTCGCCCAGAGATCCCCCGTCTTCTGCTGTGCTACACCAGCTTCTCCGCGCCTGCGACGCCAAGAGCACATCGCACGTCTCAATTGCCTCAGCCACCACTCGCCCACGCCCACGCCTACACCCACGCCCACAACCCGCTCCACCTCGTGCCTACAGCCTGCCGCGCCCTCCCATCCTCCGGCGGTGCGCCTCACCAGCATCCGGAAGCCAACGGCAAAGCCTTGGGCACGCGTGCTCAAAGTACACGACAGCGACGCCTTGGGGTACCAGCCTGACCTTTTGTGAACACCGTCTGCCCCGTCGCAAGCAGTATCGGACGACTGTCTCTCTGCGTGTGTGTGTGTGTGTGTATGTTTCGGATGTGCACAGGGATTGCGTGTGGGCTGACAGACGTCGACAACTAGTGTGTCTCTACTCTCCACACCACCCACGCTCCTCCGCCAAAAGCGTCGAGCAGCCTTCGGTCCGCTCGCAGACAAGATACTCTTGGATTCGCCGCTGCCAAACTGCACCTGGTGCTGATCCATGCAGCACACATAGTATGGCCGCCACCATCAAGACCGACCCCTCGGTCGGTGACTCGAGTCATCCAAACGGGAGTGGTAAGTTGGCCTTTTTTTTCCTGCCTTCATCTGGTGCGGCGCGCTTTAATAAGACCCTCCTCTTTGACGTTTGTTGTGTTTTGTCTCCGTTCTTGGCGCGTGGACCCTCGGCCTCGTGATTGGCCGCCTATGCTTCGATTCCCTTTCCATCTCGACTCCACACCTTAAACGGGCGCTGCGGAGACAGATTGAGTCTCGGTCAAGCCCGCCATTCCCGCGTCGGTATAAGCGTCCACTCGAGCCTCACGGCTCTTCTCTGTGCCGGCCATTGGCAACGATGCATGAACGACATGCCACTCGACGATTTTTTACCTGCCTCAGTCGGATACAAGGCTTCGAGGACGCTACATATACATGGCCATACAACGCTTCCCTTCCCCGCATCCAAGCTCGGTACACATACGCACACAGAACGCATACAGAACACATACAGAACGCTTGTCCTTGTTTTCTTTTATTATTTTCTTCATCAACTTTTAATCTTTATACGCAATGTCGCATCAGCGCTTTATGTCATGGCCGAATGCACATATGCTAACCATGGCGCCCACTTACCCTCCTGCCGGCGCTGCAACCGACTACCCATCTCCTGCTGCTTCCCGTCGACATTCTGAATGTCTGTCGGAGATGAGCATGGGAAGCATAGGAAGCAGTAGGAGAGGTAGCTTGGCTGCTTTCGCGCCGGACGTGGAGAGTACAGGGCAATGGCAATCCATAGGCAGCGAATCAAAGAGTCCTCTAGCCCAGTTTGGCTTCTTCAAGAGTTTAACCGACAAGAAGACAACCCGAGGTCCGTCCATGTCTGCCTAGTTTCACTCGTAATTACTAATTCAGCAAAGATGGACAACCACCAAAGAGAAGGGGTCCCAAGCCCGACAGCAAACCTGCCTTGACACGCAGACAAGAGCTGAATCGTCAGGCGCAAAGGTAACCTCGGCAAAGCCATGCGCAACCTCAATCACATGCTAACTTTGTTTGCAAGAACACATCGTGAGAGAAAAGAGCTGTATATCAAGGCTCTCGAACAGGAGGTCATCCGTCTCAAGGACACATTCGCCGCTACTTCGCGTGAGCGTGATGCCTACGCCGAGGAGAACAGGAGGCTTCGTGAGCTACTCATGGCGCATGGCATCGCCTTTGACCTTTCGGGTCGGCCCTCCAACGGTATGGCCCAAGTTGGGAGCTCCACCTACGGAAGTTCGACAGGCAGCGTGTCAGGCTATGGACCAGGTTCAGCCTCTACTGGCTACACCTCACCACCAACACGCGGTTCGGCCTCTCACGATGGCATGAGTGGTCAGCCTTTGACTCTGCAGCATCAAGCCCAGCAGCAGCAGCACCATCACCAGCAAGGACTGGACTATGACCAAATTGGCATAGATTTCGTTTTAACGTACGACCGAACGCCCTATCTTTCTCCTCCACCCCAGCAGTAATGCGCTTACGTCTTTTCTGCCTTGTTTCCTTCAACTCTCGTACGTTTCTCTTTGGTCTTGACAAGATATGCTCTGACAAGTCGTGTCGGACAGGCTCGAGCGACCTTGTATGGACCACATGCAGTTCCTAATGGTACGCGCCCATGATGCCGACGAGAACATTAGCGGCCACGCCCTCATGGCCACGGCACCTCCTGATGCGCACATCACAAACTGCCCCGAGGAGAAGTATCCTCACCAGATGCCCGACGTCAACATGCCGGATCTGATGAAGCTCCTGGATTTGAGCAATCGTCTACCCCTTGACGGGGAGATTACGCCCATCATGGCTTGGGCAAAGATCCTCCAGCACGACAGACTGCGGGATCTATCCAAAGAGGACTTCGAGCTCCTCAAGGGAGAGCTCCTCGCCAAAGTCCGCTGCTACGGGTAAGTTACGAGTACTGGGTATCTGCTAGTCCCTGCTAATGCTTGGTAGATTTGGTGCCGTCCTCGAGGAGTTCGAAGTCAGAGATGCGCTCACGACTGTCCTTGCTGGCAAATTCTCAAATGGGTCTCCATCTATAGGATAATGTCTATTTATGAGAACCAAGAAGCAGTATTCATATGTTTTCGGATAATTAGTAATGTCGTTGAAGTGGAGATTAGCAAATGCAAGCCATGTTTTCGCAAAAGAAATGATGTAGTTTGAACCGTGACGCGTCGGAGACTTTCTCGTGCATGTGGCGGGCTATTCTTGAGTCAGGGTCCAAGCCAGACCCCGCGCCAACGAGGGGCTCGCGCTCGACACCTCGACCCTCGAGCATACCTTACTCGTGAAACACACAATTGCTGCCACTTGTTCCATGCTTGCATAAAGCTGCGTAGTGCTATTTAATCTCCCTCGTTACGTTTTCTGCCTTTTACATAACCGCATTCTATACACTAGAGCTGTCCATACTTCATCAACCCCAGCAGAGCTCCAGCCATGACTGAACTCAGCGTTTACGACAACGACCCGACCATATACCTCTTCACATCCCTGACCGCCGGGTCTTCGCACATCATCACTGCCACCTCGCGAATCGAAACAATTCTCAGAGCGAACAAGATCCCATTTAAAGGGGTAGACACAGCTACTGACGAGCTAGCTAAGAAGCTGTTCCAGCGGAGAGCAAGTGGAAAGAAGTTGCCCCTGATAGTCAAGGAGGGATATGTGCTAGGTGTAGGTACAATACACAGAGTGTAGCCAGTACCTAAAGATTAACATTGAAATAGGGCATCACTGAGATTGAAGAATGGAACGAATACGACGAGATCAGAGAGGCACTGGGGGTGACCTCAGCCTTCACCCCCTTTCCCGCCAAACCAGGGCCGCCGCCCATGGCCGCCTCCACCAGCACCGCCGCGCCCACATCGCTCAAGAGCGCAGCTGCAAAGGAAGATACCACCCCAACCCTAAGCCCAGAGACGAATCTCGCGTTGCGAGAGCTGGGTGCTGAAGCAGCAAAGAAGGCAGCTTCATTGAAGCCCACCCCTGGCAATATCAAGACTACCAATCCGCTGTTGGCCGAGAAGACGAATACCCCGACTTCTGCTTCGATGCTCAAGAGTCCGTTAAAGGAGGAACTGAAGAATGTTCTTTCGCCCCGGACCGTTCCCCTGCCTGGTACACCAAAGGTTGCGACACCGACTACACCCAGCGTCACGACGGATGCAAAGGCGGATGCTCCCACGGTGGAGGCAGATGTAAAGGAAGATGTAAAGGAAGATGTAAAGGAAGATGTAAAGGAAGAAGCGGAGGCGGAGGTGGAAGTGAAGGATGAGGCAAAAGCTGAGGCGACAACCGAAGAAGAGACTGAAGCAAAGACTGAGGCTACAGCTGCACCAAAGACTGAGACTAAGGCTGCACCAAAGACTGAAGCAAAGGCTACAACAAAGACTGGAATAAAAACTGCAGCAAAGGCCGGATCAAAGACAGAAGCAAAGACCGAGGTAAAGAAGGGGGTGAAGGCGATAGTCAAGCCCTCTGTCAGCAAAGATGTCAAGGCTAAGGACACCAAGGCGAAAGATACAAAAGCAAAAGACGTCAAAGCAAAAGATGTCAAACCAAAGGATACGAAGACGAGCACTACAGGCTCTAAAATACCAAAAGCGTCATCATCATCATCGACAACGACAACAACAACACGGAAACCCACAACTGGTCTCTTTGGCATGCCAAAGGCTGCGCCAAAGTCCAAGCCCAAAACTGCATCTGCATCTACAAGCAAAACTGCAACCTCTGCAACCTCTGCATCAGCCAGAAGGGCTGCGACCTCGACATCTGCTAGCAAGGCTGCAGTCAAACCCAAGGACGCAAAGCCAAAGGATGCAAAGCCAAAGGATGCAAAGACGTCAAAAGCAACTGCCGCAAAGAGCATTCCCAAAATATCTGATGTACAGAAACCCGTCCAAACACCTCCTTCCATGCATGATGATGCCAAGAACCCCGCGCTGAGTGCTGGTCCGGTAAGCACTACGCAGGCAGAAGCTAGTAAAGAGGAAGAGGATAAGGAGGGTAGTGACGAGGAGGAAGAAGACTCCGAAGAGGAAAGCTCTGAGGAGGAAGATGAGGAGGAGACAGACAAGGATGCTAGCACAGCTGCAGCCACAAAGGATGGGGCTGCTGTTGCCGCCGTAACCAAGGAAAGCAGTTCCGAGGAGGATGAAGACGACAGCGACGAGGAAGAAACCGACGAAGAAGAAGAAGCAGAGGGCGAAGCCGCAAAGGGAAAAGCAGCTGTACCAGCAAAGAAGAAAGAAGAGGAAGAAGAGGATGACGACGACGATGAAGAAGATAGTGACAATGACGAAGAGGAAAGCAGCGGAGAAGAAGAACAAGACGAGAAGGACCCCAAGACCCAGGAGCAACCCGCTAAAGCACAAGACAAAGCCGGTGTCAGTGTAAAGGACTAGACTTGGCCACCCTATGTGCTTTACTTTACCTCTTATACCGCAAATCCCAAACTTACAAGTCTAAATATCGTGCGTTTTTGAGCACTTTACTTGTATATAGGGGCCTTGTTTGGGCTTGGAAAGCGAGAGGAGTGGAAAGTCTGGGTATATTGATTAACAAAGTCTTTTTTCTTTTTCCTCTTTCTGTATCTATCTAGCTTTTTTTTCTAGTTGACTACTTCGTTGGTTTAGCGTTAGACCACTCTCTCTATATGTATTTAATCTAGCCCTTTTTTTTCAAACATCTTTACCATCGTGACACGGCAATAGCAGACTTGAGACTAGATGATAGAAGTGAATGATGGAAAAAAAGAAAGTTATTTCGATTACAAACGTCCGATTGGGGATATCCACCATTTCTAAATTTTTCTTTTGTGTCTCACAGTAGATGCAAATGTAGAAAACGCCGTCCCTCCTCGCTCGATGCTACGTGTTCGATGGTTACAAGTTCAACGTACGTACAGAGAAAAAAAACAAAAGGGTAGATGTGAAACATCGCTCAAAATATAGTTAACTAAAAGGGGGGGGGGGGGTTGGATCGAGACAAATCGTAGTTAGTGGGACTTTCGAACATAAGATGTATGTAGAAAAAAAACAGAAGTTGCAGGTCATTCGTTTGTCTGGTATAAAAAAAACATGATCCAAAGGTTCAGTGGTGTTGGGGAAGTCGAGACGGTACAAAGAACAAAAAAACAAGAAAGTTGTGAGGATATTCGTCCTACACAGCGACATCCAGTCCCGCACTCTTGAGTCCGGAGAGAAACTGCTCTTTGAGATCCGCAGTGGCATCATCACCAGCATTCTTTTTTTTCTTCTTCTTCTCGTCAGGCGGCGACTGCAATTGCTGCATCATCATCATCTCCACAGCCGCCATACCCGCTTCTTCAGCTTTACTCAACGCCGCCCCGACCGCCGGCTCATCCTTCTTCTTCCCCTTGGCTTTCGGCGCGCCCTCTTCCTCACCCTGGACCATCTTATCAAGCTCCAACTTGCTAATGCCCAGGGCATAAATCTGCTCTTCGACCGTACCCTTGGTGACGAGTCTGACGACTTCGACCTCCCTCGTCTGACCAACGCGATGAGCCCGGTTCTCAGCTTGGATATCGTCCTGGGGGTTGAAGCTCGAGTCGAAGATGATGACTTTGTTTGCGCAGGCGAGATTAATGCCTGCACCGCCGCTCTTGGTGCTGATCATGAAGAGTTGAATGGATTCGTCTTGGTAGAAGATGTCCATGAGTGACTGGCGTTCTTGAATCGGGGTAGAACCGTCCATGCGCATGAAGTTTATGTCGTGGTCGTCGAATACCCAACCGAGGATGTCCATGACGGAGGTGAATTGACTAAAGACCAGGGCGCGGTCGCCGTTTTCTTTATACTTTTTGAGCAGGGCAAGGAGTGCAGTGACTTTGCCTGAGTCCATCCATTCCTGGTTTTGGAGCTCGAATTTCTTGAGCGCTCGGTACTTGGTGGCGAGTTGGTGGCATTGGTAGTCTTGGTAGAGCTCGAGCTCTTCGTATATAATGTCTGGGTTGCTCTCGGCAAACATATCTTCTTTGAGACAGGCCTTTGACATTTTCCGGATGGTGTTGTTGTCATAGCGGTGACGGAACAGAAGGGAATGAATAGCTGCTTGGCGGAGCTTCATCATCACGTTAGCATGGTCTTTGACAGCGATGCCGGCAGCCCTGTCCTCGAGAATCTTGCGCTGCTTCGCTAGCTGCTCGTTGTACAGGGTCCTCTGGGTATCTGTGAGCTCACAGTACTCGACGCGAGAAGTCTTCTTCGGCAGGTGCTTGAGCACTTGAGCCTTCTTCCTCCTCAAAATGAAGGGTGTCAACATGGTACGAGCACGCTGGATACGCTGAGCAGACAACAAAGAGCTGTGTGAATCGCTCTCCATGGTCTTAGCCTTGTGTTTGAACAAGATTTGTAACATCTCCTGGACTTCCTCCTGCTGATCGCCGTAGAACACCTGCGGCATCAAGAACCCAAGAATCGACATGAGTTCTTGGAGACTGTTCTGCAGTGGTGTGCCAGTCAACAGAATCCTGCACTTGGTGGGAATCTTCATCAAGCTCTTGTATCGAATCGTGTTGGCATTCTTCAGCATATGTCCTTCATCAAAGATGCAGATTTCAGGTCTGCACTTCTTGAGAAAGATGAGGTCTTCCTTCCTGAATGTGAGATCGTATGTTGTGATAATTACGTCGCACGTTTCCTGTCTGATGTTCTGGTGAATGCTCTCTTGGTGCGAGAAACGTTCAGCTTGAGATCCGTAGTATGGAGTGAAGTTGATGGAGCTTGAAAAGCGCTCAAACTCACGACACCAGTTCTCTAAAGTCGATCCAGGTACAACAATGAGTGCAGGCTTTCCGCTACCTGCTTCTTTCAGATGCGACAAGAAAGCAATAATTTGACAAGTTTTTCCCAAACCCATGTCATCTGCCAGAATGCCAGAGGTCTCAGTTTGCCAGAGAAGATTGAGCCAGTTAAGACCGACGACTTGATAGTCCTTGAGCTCAATGTCATCATTCATGATTGAGGGCTGCTTGAGCAGTTTTGTACGACCGACTGCTTTGCGTATGCTCTTGGACTCAGTATCGCTACTGGTGCTGCTCTTTGGTGTATGATAGCCGGAATCCCGTGCTGAGTTGGTATCACTATCGTCAAGACTTGTGACATCCATTCCCTCCTCAGTAGACGCGCCGAAAATGTCGATTCCCCATCGTGCCATGCCTGCAACCATTGGTTTTCCAAGTGCTTCACATTGTTTGACAACCGAGTCAATGGTTGAGTAGGCGTTCCACATGCCTTCGGTAGATTCCACTAGCCTTGCACCTGTTGTAATACGCGGCTTGCGAGCCTTCTTCTTGCCTTTCTCGGCTGGTGCAAGGTCTACGTGTATTTTTCGGACAGCATCAAGCGAGGCGAACGGGCGTTCCTTGAATATCTCTTTGATGTCTTCTTCTTTGTGGCTTGACAAGTCCACCATGGCCTCCACAGTGCAAGTATTGAAGAAGTTCAACAAGGCATCGTCGCTGAAATTGTTCTCTGGAGCTGCGCTTGCCTCTGAGTCGTCATCAACTACAAGCTCTGCATCGATACCCTCATCCTCATCTGAAGAGACCGTAATTGGCGCTTGCTTCTTGGATTGTTGCTGCGGTCGTGGAGTGGGTTCCGGTGAGGACGAAAACGCCATCTTCGGCTTGCGATCTCTTCCGCTAACAAGTCGGCCTTTCCGTTTTGGTGCTTCCTTCTCAGGACTGTCAATCACTACAGGGCTGTTTTGAGTCGCCCCCAACTTTGAATATTTGTTCTGTAATGATTGCACAGGCTGCTTCAAACCACGCTGTGCAGTCTTCTTCACAGTCGGTATTGACTTGGTTTGGGCCACTCCAAGCTGTGGAGACCGAAGCAACTCGTCCTCAGACTCCTCTTCTGCCAAGTACGAACATGCATCTGAAAATTCGCCCTTCTTCTTAGTTAAAGCTTCATGTAGCTGCTTCACTGATCGGTTAGGATATATGGCTTGCAACCGCTTTACGTTGCGCTGCATGGCGAAGTCGGTGATATCCTCCAAGGTCATGTTTGAGTCTTCGGTCAAATCCACAGGCAGAGCGCGAGAAGGTCCCCCTTGTCGCGGGAGGGGCTTTTGTCTCTTTGGTGGCGAACTCGAGGCAGGTCCTTCAGACGGTCGTTTTCGCGACTGGTCACCATTATATTTGAATCCAGAGAGATCCCATGTTGGTTTTTGCGGTGTCTCCTCAATCCTCGACGCCATAGAGGCCATTTCAATTTTTGACAGTGGTATATTAGATCTGTACTCGGACTCGTCTTCGTCTGGATCGCGTTCGACAGGGGGATCGTCCGAGGTCAAATCGACGATTGGCTTGCGAACGGCTTGTGGAGGAAAAAAACTTGTACCAGGAGGTGCCATTGGGTTGCTGTAACCTCCATACGGCCGTTGCGACTGGGTTGGCGACATGATGGGCGACGAGTATCGCTGGATAGTGGGAGACGAGCGGGGGACTTGCAACTGCGAGGAGGCTGTGTGTTGGACTCGATTTGCGCGCGGTGTGAGAATTTGTGTGGGCTGCGTGGGTTGCGTGGTATCAGAAGGCGCTGGGAAGAAGGGCGAGTGTTCAGCGAGAATTTGCGTAGGCTGAGTGACGTAAGGATCTTGGTGGTCGTCGTCGTCGTCGCTATGCGAAGTAGCGCGTGATCCGACAGGAGGAGGAGGTGATGAAGAGACTATAGGGTCGCGACGGTACATTGTGTGACAGTGCTGCAGTACCGAGTCGGGTTGAAGGGGGCCAAAGCACTGTCGTTGACTTGGCCGCCTCGCGTGTGGTTACGGAAGAAGACGACGGGTTGGTGACTAGGGTTCAACAGGACAAAACTGAGACAATGGACAATGCACTATAAATCAGCTAACATGGTGCTGTAAGTACGCGTGTGCTATGCAGAAGAGCAAGGAGGGAAAATAGGGTAATTAAAAACCAGTGGCGGCGATCGCCAAAAACATGACTACGCGTGAAGAAAGCACTCAACGCGTTGGGGAGAATCTGGGCGCTTGGACCTCCAGTGTGCCCATTACGTTACTGCTTTTGGCTGTGTCAGGACCAGTCGCTTGCATACTTACATACACCATTGACACCACACAACACTGCTTGCACACATCACCAACATGACGACCAGAAGAAATGTCGGCGAAGGCAAGTCCTCTCTGGAGTACGATGGAAAGATTGCACCAGGGCCATCAAACATTTCACCAGCGGTGCCGACGTGAGTTGTCTTGGATGCTGTGCACGTTACACTGGCTTATGCCGACAGGTCCGTTATTTGGAAGTTGATGAGCTTCACCTTTGCCATGATCACTTTGCCCATTGGTACCTACTTCTTTACCGTCAATTTTGTCTTTCAGGGTAAGCACTTGGCCATGCGTCCAAAGGGGTTGCTGACTCTGTCCAGGTAACGCAACGTACGCCGGTGGTCTTGCAGCACTCATGGCGAATGTTGTATTGATTGCATACGTTGTTATGGCGTTCAAGGATGACCAAGAGGAAATGCGAGAAGAGGCAGAGAAGTCGAAGAAGATAATCTAGCATCTTGTTGTTTGCCTCGTGCATCGAGGGGCCGCTAGGCGGCGAACCATCAACGTCGAGTTTTCTGCGCCGAGTTCCCTTTTGGGCTTTCAATTTGTTTGTTTGCAATCCCATGTTCAGTTCCAATCTTGGGCAATTGATCTCAAGAGGAGTGTCTTGTTAGTTCAAACGAAAATAAAAGTCTCGGCACGTAGTGCAGCTGTCTCAAGCCGCATCCATTTGATATGAGATTCGATGACCAAACAGGGCTCCCGAAGATGAAAGCAAACGGCTCTCTAATTGCTGTGATGTATCTTGATGCGGGCTGTAGTATTCCAGAGTACACACGTAGTTGGTACCAGATAAGCAGAGTGGCCAGTCCAGTGGCAGGCTCGGGTGCTAGCGCGGGGTACGGGCTTTCGCTTTTCCTTAGCGGCGTAATCTTGGCAGCCCACCTCGAGCAATTTCGTGTGCAGCGGCCACCAAGTGCGAGTGACAGCAGAACCACGACTCGACAACATGGCTCCAGCATCCCTTCTGGACCTCGTGTCCGCGCTCCCCGACACCCAAGCATGGGGCCCGCCAGTCTCCAACGAGACGATGCTCGATGGCGTCCCCTTCGCGCCCTACTCCAAGGCCGACAAGCTGGGTCGCATGGCCGACTGGACTGAGGGCAAGGACCGTGAGCGGGGAGGACGCCAGCAGTATGGCAACCGCAACTACCGGGGTATGTTGGGATTTGGAAAGAGGAAGAAAATCGCAAAAGGCTAATGAAATTCCACAGACCAGCAAGTGTACGGTGCAAACCAGCAGACCAACCCCTTCGCTATCCAGGCCGCCGAAGAGGAGGCGACCTTCTCCGTTGTCGACAACACACGAACATCAGCCCGAGGACGCGGTTTCGGACGCGGGGGCGGCACTGTTTTCCGTGGACGGGGTGGTGCGCGTGGCGGACAGGCGCAACGGGGAGGACGGGGTACCTTCCAGCGTGTTGGCGGCCGTGGCGGACAGCAGTACGACAACCGCGGTGGCCGTGGTGGAAGAGGAGGACGCCGCTTTGGCTGGAGGGACGACAAGCCCCAGCGCAACCGCGATGCCTCTGTGCAGGTCAAGCCCGAGTGGAGCGTTATGGAGGAAATTGACTTCTCTCGCCTCAGCAAGCTCAACCTCGACACCCACGAGGGCGAGGACATCGACAAATACGGCTTCCTCTACTACTATGATCGCAGTTACGACAAGCAGCCCGGTGCTAAGACTTCCGAACGCAGACTCAACGTCCTCGATCGTGCCGCCTACAATGTCACTACTTCCAGCGACCCTGTTCTGCAGGAGCTTGCCGACAAAGACGAGGCTACTGTCTTTGCTACCGACAACATTCTTTCAATGCTCATGTGCGCTACCAAGTCCGTCTACTCATGGGATTTGGTTTTCACCAAGAGGGACAACAAGGTATTCATTGATAAGCGCGATGGATCAAGCCTGGACATGGTCACTGTCAACGAGAACGCTGCAGATGCGCCGCTCGAGATTTCCGAGGGCAACAAGGACTCGATCAACAGCCCAGGCGCTCTGATGCTCGAAGCCACACACATCAACAACGTCTTCCCTCTCCAGGTTGTTACCGAGTCCGAGACCAACAAGGTTAATATGCCCCACGAGCACCCCTTCTACAACGAGGAGGTCGAGACCGACCCGCCAGCGTCCAAGGCATACAGGTACCGCCGATTTGACCTGTCTCTGGACAAGGACGAGGAGCCACTGCACCTGATTGTCCGAACTGAGCTTGATGCTGTTGTCAAGAACAACATCAACGGTGAGGACCAATACCTGACCATCAAGGCGCTCAACGAATTCGACAACAAGGCCCAAGGAGCTGGCGGAGCTTTGGACTGGAGGACCAAGCTTGCAAGCCAGAGAGGTGCTGTCCTTGCTACTGAAATGAAGAACAACTCTTGCAAGCTTGCTCGATGGACTGTCCAGAGTATCCTCGCCAAGGCTGACACCATGAAGCTCGGGTATGTTTAACAATTGTTCTTGCTGAGAAGCTGCTAACAAAGGTCTAGTTTCGTATCTCGTGCCAACCCCAAGAACAACAATGACCACGTCATCCTCGGTGTTCTCACCAACAAGCCCCGCGACTTCGCCGCTCAGATGGCGCTCAACCTCAACAACGGATGGGCTATCGTCCGTACCATTGTCGATATGGTCCTTCGCATGGACGATGGCAAGTACGTTCTTGTCAAGGACCCCAACAAGCCTCTTCTCCGCTTGTACTCCGTCCCTCTCAACACCTTCGACGAGGAGGAAATCGAGGAGCTGCAGGCGCCTACCGAAGATAATGATGAGTAGAGTCGTGTCGAGCAAGTGGGCATTGTTTCTTTTCTTTCCAGCGATATCCGTAGGGTTGGGTCTATGACTACATGCATGATAGACGATATGTCATTGAATGACAGTACTCAACGTGCGTTGTCTTTATGATACGAGAAAGTACATACTTTTCTTCAATGTGAGACAAATTGTCACTTAATAGGTCAAGCTTTGTTGTCTCGAGAATTACAATTCGATAGATGGGGGCATGCACAGGCCACGGTTGCCAAGCTATCCCAGTTCTCACGCCTGCACCTCCTTTCACTTGCATTCTCAATGTAAACTACACATTATTGATTGTCTATCGCGCACGCCACATGGACTGAGTAGCGAAAATACTATGATGGCTATGCGACTGTACCAACTACATCTGGTCAACCTCAGCCATGATTGATGAACTGTTGGTTCACATCTCTGCCCCAACTACGCGACAAAGCGACCAACTCTACCAGTCTTTGGCCGATGCCTATCTTACATTTGAGGCAAATTTACCTCATCGGGAAAATTCCCGGCAGCTTGATGTTGCGAATCAATCTGCCCTGCCGGGGTTGAATGATATAGCTCCAGGGCAAGGGAGTTTATTCCGAGGCACCGCGGACACTTCCAACTTATCTATGAGCAAAGATTCTTACGGCAGCTTCCCGTCACATTTATCTTTGAGTGGACTTAAGAATCATGAGAATGCTACCATTCAGTCCAATGAGCATGTAGTCAAAGATCCACCGCTCACGCCCGGTCGACTTGCTCAATCAAAGCATGCACGCCATGATGGGAAATACCGAAGAACTCTTAGGTCGAGCTCCATCAAGGGAAAACCGCTAGCGGAAAAGATTCCAGGTACTCCAGGCGATGTCGACCTAGGCTTTGTTGAGGACACGCAGCCGGATACTGAAGTTCTCCAGAGTCAATTACAGGACAGCTATTTGAAGAGTTATGACAATACACCTGCAAATGATACGGATGAAGAACGGATTCAAGACAGCACTATCGAGGCCTTAGTCACAGCAACACCTGATACGAAAGAAGACTTTCCAGAACGTCGACGAAGTATGCGCTTGAAAACGGCGAGTATCGTAGCAGAGACACCTATGCCCACTGCGAAGCTGTCTGCAAAACCTGATGCTATTGCAACATCCCAAAGGCCTGTCAGTTCAGACAGTGCTCTGAATCCATCCTCGCCAGCATTATGGCATACGACATGCGAAGAAAAAGAGCCTGAGGACAGTAGCCAAGTCACTCCACCTATAGATTTCTCCAAACTTCAAATCGACGTTTATCCACCAGAACCCAAGATATCAACAGAGCAACCGGGTACGCTGCCTTCTCAAATCACTCCACAACTAGCAGCACTCAAACAGCAAAATCCGAAGCGTTTCAAGCCAATCAGGATAGTAAATAAGCCGAAACCCGATGATCGTGGGTACTGGTTAATCAGCTGTTCGCATTGGAGTGCGCAGCTTCAACAAGCATTTTGGAACAACATCTGTGAGCAAGTCACAAGTGGAAAACTCGGCTGGGGTGTGATGCTGTACCGAGAAGGTCGCACTTCTCGCTCATTGGGCCAAGTGAAGCTGTACTGCTGGGGAGAGATTGTAGAGCATACATGGTTAGTCTTATGGTTATGCTCTGAGGGGAAAGTATCGGGTTCGAGACTGCAATGGATTGATGCTGATGGAAATGCGGCGTTTTCAATGTCCTGATTAGTTGCATAAATAGTGGTGAGAGTGCTGGGGTATTAGATAGGTTGGACAGCGATCAATTTAGTCACATGCACGCGTTCATGTCGCGCAGACAATCAAAATCACTCTGCAGCTAAACAATCCGCCCCGCGTTGTTCATTACTGCCTCCAATAATCATATTTTGCATCAGGCTAGCTCTCATTACATTTGGACATAATTAATTGTTCATGCATGGTCATGATTGGTATTTCCACAAGTGAAACACGGACGCCAAGCAACAGGTCCAGGGTCGCTGACACGCCCTACACTCTCGGACACGATTCTATTGCGCAATCTTGGCCTCTCGCATAGCCATGTAATATTGCCCTTGAAGAAACAACCATGGCTGCACGGTCGCAAGACGACTTGCACAGGACCGCAAGTTCAGACGCGGGTACCGACGAACGCACGCTTTACGACCACAGCTCCGACGACGAAGGCTACGATGGCAGGCCATCGGGTGAACTCTCCAAGAACGACCACGATATTCTAGACTCGGAGGATGAGCGTGAAAAGCTCCTCACACGAAGCCAGGGCAGCAAAGGCTTCTTGGGCCGCAAAGGCTCAGGCGTCAAGGTTGGGAAATGGGTCAAGGAGAAGGCGAAAGGGCGCAGGAAAGGCAGCAAGGAGGAGTCCAGCGCCCTCATGTATGACATGGAGGAGGGCACCGGAGCCTCGAGCACCAGCTTCATATCGAGAAACTCAGAGAGCGACGAACGACAGTTGCTTGCGAATGAATCGCAGCGAAGGGTAAATTAGGCACCCCTGTGTGCGCCCTGAAAACTAACAGTTGGTGTAGGCACAGAGAAAGGGCATATACCGTCGGATAGGTATATACGTAGCCATAATTGTTCTTTTCGTCGTCCTCCTAGCAACCGCATACAACCTTTCTACCCCGCAAGATGTCAAAGACGCTGCTGCCCTGGTATCAAATGGTACTTCGCTATTTGCGCCTACCACAATTCTCATATCCCTCGATGGCTTTCGCGCCGACTTTATGTTCCGCAACCTTACACCCACACTCAGTCAGTTTGTACGGGAGGGCATATCACCCAAGTACATGCTGCCCAGTTTCCCCAGTGTGACCTTTCCAAACCATTACACGCTCGCGACTGGCCTATATCCTGAAGCGCATGGGGTCGTATCTAATACATTCTGGGACCCGGAGCTCAAGGAGGATTTCTATTATACCCATCCTGCGCAAAGCCTACAGTCCCACTGGTGGGGTGGGGAGCCACTGTGGGTGACGGCCGAGAAGCAGAATGTCCGAGCAGCAGTACACATGTGGCCAGGTTCCGAAGCCAATATATTGGATCAGAAAATTGCATATGTTGACAAATATAACGGTTCGGAAGTTCTATCCAGGAAAGTAGATCGTATCATGGGCTTCCTCGATCTACCCGGCCCCAAGGATGTCGGTGCGACTGCGCTTACACCTCGACCCCAGCTGATTGCTGCGTACGTTCCCGACGTAGATGGCGATGGTCACACATATGGTCCCAACAGCACAGAGATCCGGGAAACCATCACACGAGTTGATACTATGATGGGAGACATTTTCAAAGGCATCCGTGAGCGAAACCTCACAAACATTGTCAACGTAGTAGTAGTGTCTGACCACGGCATGGCAACAACCGACGCTACTCGTCTTATTCAACTCGAAGACCTGGTCGATCCTGCAGAGCTATCACACACAGACGGCTGGCCTCTCTACGGTCTCCGGCCCAAAGATCCCTCTGCCCTCCATCGCATATACAACCAGATCAAAAACCGTACAGCTGACAATCCCAATATCGAGGTCTACCTTCGCGATGAGAACATGCCAGAGCGATACCATTTCAGCAAAAACAAACGCATAGCTCCGCTTTGGCTAGTACCCAAGACCGGCTGGGCAATCGTTACGAAGGACCAGTGGGATATTGAAGAACGCCAAAAGAATCACGAAGTCTATCATCCTCGAGGTCTCCACGGCTACGACCACGAGCACCCGCTTATGCGTGCCATTTTCATAGCCAGAGGCCCAGCATTCCCGCATGAACCGAATAGCCAGATGGAACCATTCCGTAAGTAGTCATGTCCATCGAACGTGAGATATGCAAGCAGAGAAACACATTCACTGACAACATCTAACAGAAAACATCGAACTCTACAACATAATCTGTGACTCGATCAAACTTCAACCCGCCCCCAACAACGGCACTCTACGTCTCCCCCTCAAACCAATCGGTCTACACAACGACGACGATTCCACCAACGCATCCGAAAACGAAACCCCTGAGGACCCCGTATCGTCCTACACCCTCTCCCCCTCCTCCTCTCCTTCTTCCTCCTCTTCCCCACAGCCCCTCCCCTCCACAAACCTCGCCGCCATGCCCTCCCTTCTCGACCCCCTCTCCAGCATCACCTCCTTCGCATCCGGTCTCGACACGGGAGCTACACTAGAAAACGAAGCTCCCCCTACACGACCCACGCCTCCTGCTACTAGTTCTACTGGAGGTGGTTCAGCGGATAAAGAAAAGGGCGACGAGGGTAAAGAAGGAAACGGAGGAGAGGACGAGGAAAAGGAACAGAGTTGGTGGGAGTGGTTGACGCACAAGGCGGATGGGATTGAGGAGTGGGTTGATCAGTTTATTCAGGATCATGTCAAGGGAGGCAAAGGGGGTGATGATGGTGGTGGTGAGAAGAATGGGAAGGCGGAGTAGTAGATTGGGGGTTGTTGTCATTGTTGTTTTTTTCTCAGTCTTTCTCGTCCCACTTTCCACTTCCTATTCATGCAAGGGAAATTTGGTTGATGAGATTTAGAAATGGCGTTTTGTTTTGTTTTTCTTTTTTTTTTGGAGTAAAACAAAAGGGATGGATATAATAAGGTTGCTTTTATTTTTTTTCTCCCCATTTTGCTTACTTTCGGGTATACCCAATTCATATACAGGTAGAAATCGGAAATTGAACCAAGACGCTTTACCAGTAAAAAAACACAAGACTGTCTGGTCATATTTTGAAGAAGAAGAGGATTTCTTTGTTATCGTTAAAAAAAAAGGTATCATTCATTTCGTTTATATAAATTAAGAAGGTAGGTAGGGTTTGACAGAAGATCTACATGATATCGCACTTTGAGGGCAGTCCGCAAGGACCCTCCTTGTCCTTTTCAGTCTTTTGCTGAGGTTGTGATGAAGGTGCAGCAGCAGGAGTAGGAGCAGCAGCAGGGGTGCTGGAAGTCTTGTCCGCTGGCGCAGGTGTAGTGCCATTAGTCGTAGCGGTCGTAGTTTCTGCCGCCTTCTTTTCGCCCGCAGTACCATCATCTAGTCACTGGTGAGCCTTGGCAACGGCCTCGTAGAAGGCCTTGCCCTGGGCAACGGCGACCCTGATCTCGAGCTCAGAGGGCTGGCGGGAACCGTCACCGCCAGCAAAGGTACCAGCGCCCCAGGCGGAGCCACCGTGAACCTCGTTTAGGTTGGCAAGGTCGGCTGGGAAGATGTTAGCTTCTTGTTTTCGCGCCATCAAGTAAGAAAATGTCTATCAAACTTACCGAATGTGGTCTTGTAGCCCAATGGCACGTAGATGAAGCCGTGGTGGGCGAGGGTGCTCATGGCAGCCAAGCAGGTGCTCTCCTGGCCACCACCCTGGGTACCGGTGGAGACAAAGAGACCAGCGTACTTGCCCCAGAAGCTTCCCTGCTGCCATTGCTTGCCAGTCCTGTCCCAGAAAGCCTTGAACTGGGCGGGGAAGTTTCCGTAACGAGTAGGGATACCGAAGAGGATACCGTCGAACTCCTCGAGGACAGCGGGGTCCTCAAGGACGGGGACATCGGCAGCCTTGGGGCCGGCGTACATCTTCTGGAGGACTTCCTCGGGAAGGGTCTCGGCAACCCTATGTGATTGTTAGACCATGTTGTACTCGGGGTAGAGCGCGGGAGGGCTGCAATTGAGGGGGGTGCGAGGATGTGGAATGTTGTAGAACGTCGGAAGATACATACTGGAAGAGCTTGGCGTCACCACCAGCCTCCTGGATACCCTTGAGCTCAGCATCGGCCTGGAATTGCAGTTAGTCATGTTGTTCTCTCTCTCTCCTCTGTACCACCAAGGTGCTCCACGGCAGCTTGCATGGCGCGAGAGTGTCAACATACCAGCTTCTTGATGTGGCCGTACATGGAGTAGTAGACAATTGCAATCTTGGGCGCCATCTTGAATAGCTAGGGGGTATCAAACAATGTAGAGAGAAGTGCTAGAAGGGAGGAATTGAGATAGAGCTTGCAGATGAAGCTCGAGGAGAGGGGCAGGCCTTGCATCTTATAGTTGCTAGCCCAGCGAGCATGCGCCAGCACGCAAAACATGGCAGCATACCCGATCCCCATCTCTCCCTACATGACATGATGCAAGCTAGATATGCCCACGCTGGTCCAATCGTCGCACCTCTACCCCCGTCCACAGAGCCAAACTTTGCCGTTATTAGACCAGCCGATTCCACAGAGCATTGGAAACGCGCAGTGACGCCCCTCCATACCTATCCCAGACGAGTATAGTGTGTCTCCACTTTTCTCCCCGGCGCAGTAGGCGTCATTAGCGTCATGGACCCATTTTTCTTCTGCCTGAATTCTCGATTACATGACTGCTTGGTAAGGATTTGAAAGTCTGTCAACATCGAAGCAGGTCTCCATCCGACAACCGCCCCCTCCCCCTTCCAAGAAAAAAAACCAATGCATCGCTGCTACCGGATCTCCGGCAGAAAATGGCCCGAGGCACTGCGGATATATTCCGAAAGTTGGTCATCAGCAAAGTCGCACTTATGTTATCGCTGTTGTTGGTGGTGGTGGTGCTGCGGCGTTGCATACACACCGACGTATAACAGTGGTTATGCTAAGAACGGGCGCACGGCTAAGCTCCAGATAGAGCAAATGGCGACCGCTCGAGGATTAGATGAGAGCTTACTGTTGGCTGTGTAAGCACGGAGGGGCACCCCGTACCTTGGGCTTTTCCGTCTTGAGACAAGCAGCTTGGGAGACCGCAATTGCGGGGGCTGATGATCGCCAAGGCGGGAGGGGAAAAAAGCGTGCGGTGAAGATTCTGATAAGGCTGTCTGTCAGGCCTTTTTTTTCTCTAAAATTTTCCAACGACACGTCGTCATTGCTTTTTATAGTTGTGGAAACTTTCCCGCGGACACAACGTCAATGTGCACACATATACAAACAGGATGTTGGAACCAAGAAGTGCATACGTAGAAAAACTTTGTTCATTACAGTACAATGGTATCCGGTTATGAACGCTACAACGCTAACAAGTAAAAAACAGACTGCCGTCGCTCAAATGCAAATTCCCTAAAAACCGCTTTTTTTGAAGACATAAAACCCCATGCCTTGATAGTCAAATTTCTCAAACCCTTTGAAATGCATGAATCGAATATGGCTACTTCAGCCTGATATCTCTTGGCTCCAGGCCTGCCGCGCTCATGCATATGATCGTTAATGTCGTAAAACAAGTTGTAGTAATGGTATACAGAAGAAAGGAAGACGATCGCTTTTTTTTGGTCGAATGATCCACATTCAAGTCTGAATGGAATGAAGCCTCCTGTGGACACCAGCCAGGAACTCGGCCTCGTGGATGCGCTGGAACTGCGCCTCTTCCTCTTTTCCGTACAGGCCGGTGCTTCCATAGGGTCCCTTTCCGCTGAACTCGACGTTCTGCGGCCAGTATCCCTCGGACGAAATCTGGGCCAAGGAAAAGTCGCCGTGCACCGCCTGGAAGCCGGGCTCGAAGATGCAGTCTGCGAAGAAGAGCTCAATGTAAAGCTCGCGAGGAATGGCGCTCTCAGCGCGGAGCCGGATGAAGCGGCGCGCTTGCTCCAGTAGCTTCTGCAGGGCGTCGGTAGCCTCGTGGGTAGAGCGGCCGTGCTCATGCTCGCACAAATGCAGGGCACGAACTTGCAAATCACCCGCAAACTTGGCGTCCTCGTTGGAGAAGAGGTGGGAGCACACAGATGGGAGGGAGATGGACAGTGTCTCCAGCTTTGGGCAGTTGCGGAAGGTATCGCAGAGATGCTCACTGTCGCTTGGGGAACCAGGATGCGGGTGCCAGAAGCCATCCTGGGACCGCGGGCTGTGCTCCAGAACGCGGAGTGTCTGGCGAGAAGCCTTGACAATCGCCATGACACCATCAATGGTGATTGATGAGTTGCAGGTCAGATGGAACTCCTCGAGCTGAGTGGCAGTGCGAGCAATAGCGAACAGGTCATTGTCGGTGATGGGCATGAAGGATGTGTCGCCGAAAATCTTCAAGCGGCGCAGTTGGCCAAAGTTGACCGACTGGAGGGGCTCTAGATCGACGAGGTTGTCCTTGTCGGCTGCTTGCTGCGATGTGGGATCGACACACTGCAGCTCTAGAGACTGGAGTGACTTGCCGCTACCCGTCAACATGGCTCGCCAGGCCTTGGCATCCACGTGCCTAATGGTAGTCCACGGAATGGAAAGCGAAGTAAGGTTAACACAGTTCCTCAAGCAATCGAAAATCATGCGGTCGGTCTCGGCGGTATAGAAGCCATGGACCCACATGCGCCTGATCTTGGAAGCGACTTGGGGGTAGTCGTTGCAAATCTTGACTGTCCGCTTGAGGGAGGCGAATGGGTCACGGTACACAGCCGTACCAGTTGGACGGTCAATGAGCTCGTAAAGCGGGTAGCTTTCTCGCCTATTGGAGAGTTCAGCCCATCGCTGGGTACGGTTAGCATGGCAAGACTAGGCGAATGCTTGGGATGTTGCTTACCTCTCCACCCTTCCAGCGGCGAATGTAGACATCCTTGATCGAGTGCTCCAAAGCCCACTCGTGCCACCTCCAGCAAACGGAACGGAGTGTGGCCGTGGCATCCCACTTGAGAAGCTCTGGGGGAACGGGGCCCCTTACATAGCGCTGGAGCTTGGCCCTCTCTAGTGGCAGGGGCGCTTGCTGGAGTCCAAAGGTGTATGTTGGACCTTCGCGGACATTGGCCTTGGTAACCTCGTGGAGGATCTGGGAAAGGATTTCGTACGGGAAGTCGTTGATGTTCATTGAATGTGCAGCAAGGGTAAGGTGGGTCGATGTCGATGTGGTACAGTGTGTGTGGGTAGTGTAAGTGTGTGGTTGGTGGGTGAGTAGTCGGAGAGGCGTAGGTTGGTTTGGTATATAAAGCAAGAGAGGAGGCAGGCCGTGAGTCTTATAGTCGCCACCAGTGACGGGCGAGCAGAGATTTATTCATCAGACAGTCAACACCAGGCACCGTGGTACGGAGTTAGTCAAAGGCGAAGACTTCCCCAGCTTTGTGCAGCCGCGCCAAACAAGTCGGACGGTGGGCCGAGACGGCTACACGCCAGCAGGAGTGAATGGTTCCACAGTACAGGCGCAGGCGCACCAATCAGAGGGGCCGCAGAGCAGTTTGGAGGCTCGGTTCTCTTTACGTCACAGTGGCTTGGCGCGTCGGATGGGCTGGGGCGGCGATTCAACGCTCAAATTTGGCTTCACGTGGGCCAGGCCTTTGCGTTTCGATTACCCCCAGGAAATTCAATCCGCAGGCCACCTGACCACGCATGACACATCAAAATCCTCGGACGAGCCCCCTCGTGCCTGTCTCCAGCCTGCGACTTGCGACCTGCATTGCTCACCATGCCGGACTTCTGTTGCCGATGCATGCCGCTTGTCCTTGGTGGTCAGATTCGTTACCGTCCATCCTCCCTCTCACCACCTCCAAGCCTGTGGCGTCCTTGTCCGCCTCGCCCTCACGCCTCGCCATCCATCTCCTGTATCTCCGCTTCGCTCCGCCAAAACCACCATCGTCATGATTGCTTCACCCCATATTCACACCGTATTTCCATCCCCGTGTCACGGCTCGCCTGTTCAATAAATGCACAGATGTCCCCATTTCCTTAGCCTCGCGCTTTTCCCCGTCTCCTGACGATGCCACGCCTCGTGGACCCCCTTAAACCTCCATCTGCAGAATCTTCACGATGCATGGACACTCTCTTCCATTGACACGTATACGTCCCCTCGCTTGCATCACTTGAAGTCTAGCCTCGTCGCCATCGTGCTCGACCTGGGCTGATTTGGTAATTTCTTACGTCTTCAAAACTTCCCCGCCATGCACCTTCTCCACAGTCACGAATTATACCCCTTACGGGAACTACTTTAGCTCACCACTTGAACCGACGACACTCGCATCCACTCTCCAAAACAATCACAAGTGTACGTCGCTCTGTCACTCACTCCACCGACGACATAGACACGTTCATGTAATCCTGAGCACGTCAGGGTCGAGGGCAATTACGCCAACGCGCATAGCAGACCGGTTACTGCATTTACCTGTGCCTCTTGACAGCATCAACCACCATCCCCCCAGCATGGCCAATTCATTCTCCTGGTTTCTATGAGCTAAGGATTGACGCTACCCCGCAAAACTTCTCGGCCCCCGAATAGTACCGGGTCTGGGACTGTCGTACTTGTGGCCACCAGACCCGCGACCTAGCCGCGGCAGGAACATTCCGCTTCCAATCACGTCTGGGATTTTTACCTTTTTTCTTAGCACGGGCTTGTTCTGTTCATCTGTTTAGCGCATACTTAGTTACCCTACCCTGAAAGTCACCGGGGCTGTACAACTCAGCTGACCCCGTCTTCTGAGCCCAGAGCCGCAACACCACCGAGAGGATCGTGCCTTTCCGCTTTTGTCTCCGGCTTCGACACTGGTGAAGCTGACGACGTGCTCGTTTCAGCGGGTGGATCCCGCCTCATGTGCTGGATGCAGATGCCGAATCCGTGCTTGTTGGCTTGTTGGTCGGTGCGGGAGGCCACCTGCACCACACAATGGTCAGGCGTGTCAATCTAACCCAACTTTGGGTCCGCGTAATCAATGCAGTCTGCGGTCGCCCTTGAAGAGACGATCCTTGTCTTTCACCACTACAGGACGGTGTTAACTTTAGCCTGTTAAGTCTTATGGTGCTCTCGAGTATTTGAACCGCCCGAGGCAACCTTCCGTAGTGATTTGGCACCATCCATCACGCAACAGGGCTGACGACACACATCCACTGGATGGTGCAATGCGGATTCTTCCCCACCATACAAAGGGGGGGGATTCCTTTGTGATGGAAGCTTTCTTTTAGGTAATTGTCCCGTGTTGATGGTAAGATGGAAAGCCCAGCACGACAGTACCATGGTGCTGCACGGCTCTAGGCATGACGGGAATTCCGTCCACTAGTAACACTGTGCAAGGTGACGGTGCAACACGAGATGGCATCCGGCAAAACCATTGGTGACTGCGCAATCCCGCATGCCGTAGCTTTTTTACTATCCTTATTTCCGACTGTACCGGTGAAACGACATACCGGCATCATTTCTCAGAAAAGCAACACGTCACTGAGCAAAAAAGGTCGCAAGAATCAATCAATATTTGGGTATCTTATCCATCTCGAAAAAACAAACAAACTAGCATGCTTGTCCCACCAGCCCCCTCCTCTTCTTGTTCTTCTTCCTCTTCTCTCAATCTAGCCATGCTGTGCCTAGCTTACCGTCTCCGCATGGCGTTACTCTCAACATTGTTTGCGTGCGCGAGCAGGTATTTGCAGCACGTCAGCGTGTACTTGCACGCCTTTGTCCATCCTTCATCCTTGTTGAGCGCCAGCTTGATACTCTGATCATGGATCCGATCCTTGCGTATCTCGTACGGCATCTTGACGCCCCCGCCGCCACCACCACCGCTGCCGGGAGCCCCTACGCCACTAGCATTTGGAGGAGCTTGGTTTTCAACGAATTCGCCCAGCTGCTTGAGACACTCGAGGAAAGCTACCATGGCTGCGTCGAACTTGCGGTGCAGGAAACCAAAGTTGATGGGGAAATCTCCCGACGAGTATAGTTCGAGGCGTTGCTTGGATATCTGTGGTGATGAAGCTGTGGTTGCTGTAGATGCATGTTGATGTCTTGTTGTTGACTCTGCGACGGAAGCCCCTCCTTTGGCTTCTATGCGCGTAATCGTTGATGTGGAGCCCATGGGACAGAGCTCGTAGCCGTCGAACTTGTAGCCTAGACGCTCTGCTAGAGTAGCGAGTAGCAAACAGGTCTGACCCCATGCGGCGTTGATTTCAGGCCAGTCGACATATGGGTTTGGTAGGCGTCCGAGGCGCAGACCGTTGATGGTGGCAAAGTGGTTGTCGTGCGTGATGTTGAAGGAATCATTGTAGACGCTTCTTCTCTGCAGCTGGTTCAGCACCTGTGCATCGTGAGCATACCTCGTGGCTAAAGCGTCACGCTCGTTCTGGAACTCGGTCAAGGTTGTGTTGAAGGCGTTTCTGCTCTTCCAGAACTCGTTCTCTTCTTGATCCAGTATCCGCGCTTCTGCTTCCAAGGCAGCAATTTGATTGTCTAGTTCTGCCTTTTCCGCCTCGAGGTTCTCAAGCTGAGTAATGGCGGTGCTTTCGGCCTTCTTGGCTGCTTTGAGGGCCGCTTCGGCGGCTTTGACTTCTTCAGCGCTGGGCACGTCGGTGTTGGCGCGCCGGAGAAAGTCTACGTATGCATCACGCTCTCGGGTTGCTACGCCAAGTCGTTTTTGTAGCCCGTCTATAAGGATCTCGGTGCACTCTACGCATATCGGGTGGTCGATATCGGAGCGCGCAGATAGAATCTCGAACATGCGATTCGTCGTCTCGAGTCCATCTGCTAGGCTCGCACCTCCCGCCGTGCCCAGGCCATTCTTCGCGCCTTTCCGCTTTGTTTTATCATTCGCGTCAGCCTTTGCGTCCTCTGCTTGCGTTTTGCCGTTGGTACTTTGGACTGGTTCTCCAGAAGGCGGGTTGATCATCGACTCGGACATGTGTATGTCGATAAACGACATGGCGGGGTTCTGGGGGCCATTTGGGCTTCGTGATTGCGGTGCGCCTTGGATGTTGCGTCTGTATGTAGGTGTCTTTGCATCTTTGATCGCATCTTGGTAGGTCTTGAGATGTTCTGGAGGGTTTGGTGGACGCGACTGGCGGTTTGGCGAGATATTCGGAGCCTGGAGCTGGCCTGAAACTACGGAGTCTATACCGCAATCAATATGAGAACAGGACCCAGAAAGAACCCAGGGGTGGTTGTACCTGTCAACAGCTTGAAGGCAGCCGGGTTAAGCTGGTCGATAGAAGCATCGATGTCTATGGGTGTCCGGCACTTCTGACAGGCCAAGCCGGCTGGTTTTGTGTCGTTCGGCATAATGTCATGAGAGGTGGTCCTTCATGCTGCTATGAAGGTGAGGTATTAAGGCGCTGTAGGAGGTGGATGACGATGCGGCGGTTCGTGGTTGGAGATCACCTGCAGGCGGGTGGGGCTCCCCCGGCCGCCGCTAAGGCATGCTGGCTGGCGCCGACGCGTCCCAGCCATTGTCAGCTTTCGCGTCAGGCCAATTAGTGCTTCGTCGCAAATCGTCGCAAACAACCCCCGCCCTTCGCCAACCCACTATCTCTCTCGTACCTCGGTCAAGGCCGCCGCTCCTTTCTCACGCATCCCAAAGCGCGCATTCATACACCATGGAACCACCGGCGAAGCGCATGCGCATCTGGCAGTCTGTCGAAGTGGACGAGGAGAACGCCGAGTACATCAAGGCGAAGCAAAAACAACAACAGAAATTCAAGGGCCGACTCGAGTCGATATTCGAGAAATATGGAAATATGCACGAGTCAATGAGCGACGAGATCGACATGGCGACCAACAGAGTAGTGGTGGACAGAGGACATTTGCGGAGACTGAGGCGCCAGGTCGGTCGGAAGGAGACTATGTTGTTGGACACCCTCGGCTTGGCTGTAGGGAAGGAGTCGAGATATGAGGGTGAAGAGGAGGACGAGGATGAGGATTTACAGGATTCGGAAGATGAATTGGCGCCTACGCAGCCAGTGAAGTCAAAAGATAAGGAGCCTGAACTGGACGGCCAACAAACCAGAATACCAGACGCGCAGTCCCCACGCAGCGATAATACTCCGTCAGTTCCACAACATTTAAATACCCCAGCGACTTCAATACCGCAATTCAACACAATGCAGCCCCCCAATACGCCGAATCCAAATCCGACTCCGAGCCTCCTACCGCTTGTTCAGTTTCCACAAACTCCTGCTGGACAGCAGGCGCAGGCTACATTCTATATGACTTTGACACAGGGAATTGGTGAAGTTATCCAAAAAGCTATGGCACAGTCCGGTCTCCTACCACCCAACTTTTCTACCCCATTTACAAGCGCTGCTCTGCCACTGACTACGCCGATGATCAACACAACCGATAAGATCGCACCCGCTACGGACCCGAAATGGTTCTTCCCACCTCTGTCTGCTGCACCAAAACAGGATCCAGTGGCTCAATCCAGCCCTCTTCCCGCTCGTAGAGCAGCCCCGCTAGCTGAGCAAGCCGGTCAACCAGTCGTTACTTCGTTACCACGTGAGCATGAAGGAGAGCTATTAGCAGAATCGACACCTCTGGGCGAAGAAGCCGCTCCCTCAGTTTCTCACGCAAGGTTACAGGAGAGCTCACCCACTACACATCGCCGTACCAGTCCGCGCGTTGAGGTTCAAAGACGCCGCATTCGTGCTACCAGAAAATATCACTTTACACCAGAGGACGACACATACATAAGCAGAAGAAAAATGGTGGATCACTCATCATGGGTTGCTATCAAGGAAAGCCAGGCGAAATGGAAAGACTGGCCCGCAAGTGCGATCAGCAGGCGATGGGCTTTGATTAAGGATCAAAACCTGCATCTGCAATCGCCAGTTATAGCTTGTTCGAACAATGACGTCCATGACACTGAAAATGAACTGGATGAGCAAGTAGAGGCACCTGTAACACAATCTCATCATCTGCCAACTCCCAGCTCATCCGAGCACGAAGACGGCCACAGAGAAGCCGCCGAACCAACACAAGCTTTCAAGGGATTTTCCTCAAGCGCATATTATGACGACGACGAACGAGAACTATTGTCTCTAGCTGGTTCGGACGCAGAAGAAGAAGGAGAAGGAGATGAGGAGGTGGTGGTGGTGGTGGAGGAGGAGGAGGAGGAAGGAGAAGGAGAAGACCATGAAATCACTTGCGACGAACAAATGCCAGACGCCCTACCAGAAGATAGTATAATACCCTCTATAGAAACGACAACCATGATCGACGAAGACGACTTACAACGAGACCTACTCGAAAGCTTAGCCATGCACGACGCCACCATCACACCCCCACGCCAAACATCAATCCAGATAAAACCCGAACCAATATCACCATCCACACTCACTCGACGCTCCGAAACGATCTCAGACACACCCACAGCCAACGATGACACCAACAACTCCACACCGCACCAATCACCTACAACCACAACCACAACCTCGCCCCTCCTCTGCCAAATCTGCAACCGCACCTTCAAAACACCCCAAACCCTCGCCCACCACCTATCAAACCCCAGAAACACTCACACGCATCCCGCCCCACCACCATCACCACCGCCACCATCCCACAAACGCAGCATCTCCTTAGACCTCATATCCTCCCCCACCACCACCACCATTCCTAACAACGACGACAACGATCTCCTCCCCCCAACAACCCCCCACATCAAACGCGAACCCAGCACTACCGCCTCCCCCAGCTTCTTCGTCTCAGCCTTCCAAACGCCCAGAGCGGCGGCGGAGAGGAGAAATAGCAAGGCTGGGTCTGGAGTGTGGTCTACGTCGAGGGTGGAGAGGAGGGCGCATGTTAAGCAGTTGAAGCGGGGTTGGAAGGGCGTTGGTGGGTCGCCTGTGGTGTCGTCTGGGTCGAGGGGGAAGAGGAAAAGTTTGGGGGAGTTGATGGGGGGGAGGAAGAGGGGTTGGGGGGAGGAGAGTGAGGAGAGGGATGAGCTTTGTTTTTGAGGACTTGGGGAGGATGGAGTTTGTAGAGTAGAGTAAAAGTGAAGGGGTGTTTTTTTTGGGAAGGAGGTGGAAGGAGGCTATGTGAATTTCATGACTTGCTCTGTGCCTTCTTTTAATGTACATGGGTTTATGTGTGAAACAATCTTTTGCCATTTCTCTCTACTTCCCATGCAGCCCCCCCCCCCCCCCCTCACTTTGTCACTGCCCATCTTTTTTTGCCTCTTCCAGGTCTCCCCCTAATACCCCCAATTTCTTCAAAGCATCCAAACTCCGGTATTTGAATCGAAACACTGCATACGGCTTCTCTAGGCTATCCACATACTCTGGTCTCGCTATCGCATGGCCGTAGGGAATGGGTGTGCTGGTATGAACGAAGTGTTTTGTTCCCTTTTTAGAGGTTGCGGCGGCTATGATGGCGGATTGCGAAGAAGGAGAAGGCAAGAGGGATGCAGGTGGAGGTGGCGGAGGAAAACGCCAGTGGGGTTTCGGGGGCTGGACTCGGGACTTGGTAGGAGATTTTGAACATTTGTGGCGATGAGGAGTAGTGGTATGGCCAGGTTGCTTTGCTTTATTGTCCTTCTCGTCTTTCTCTTCGTGAATAGCAGGCCGGGACACATTGGTCCCCTTCATCCCACCATTTTTCTGTTCTTTACCCAAACTCATTTCGAGGACGCCTTTTAGCTCTTGAAGCGCTGATGAGTCGTTTTTCTTATATTTCGATTTTGATTTCGACTTCTTTGCATCAGATGGCGGGGTCGGCTTGATAATATCCTGCCATCTTGTAGGTTCTGGGCTTTTATGACCAGTGGGCGGAATAGTCCATTTAATATCCCCATCTTCGTCATCGGAAGTTGAGTACCAGGCGTTCTTACCAGGGCTCTTGGGCTTTTCAGTTGCCCAGGTGGAATCTTGAGACGTGGCAACGGCCCAAGAATGCACTCTGTTGCTGTCCCAAGTAGATGAAGCTATAGAATGACGATCTTTTTCGCCAGAACCAATAGCGTCCCATGCATATTCTTTCGCAGATGGTGCATATGGGGCTGGAAACATGTTACTGGTATCATTTACGGCTGCAGGCCAAGCTGGAACTCCTGATGCAGAAATACCCCCATGATCATGTCTGCTTGGTCGTCTTGACTGCGTATGTGTTGGGAGCGCGATATCTGGGTGACTTTGAACATCTGGTATCGCTCTTGTGATTGCAGAAGGAGCAGGTATCTGTTCAGAATCTATGCGCTTCAAGTTTTCAGCACAAAGCGGATAGCGAGACGAAGTTCGTCCATGATAAGATTGCGTAGACTTCGAGGGACGGACACGACTCTTTGATCTCTTTCGCAGAGTCTGTATATGACTTCGAGAATGTGACGGCTGTATCGTGTTGTCTGAGCTGCTGGACGAACTTGTAGAGTACGCAGGTGAGGCACTTCCTGCCCACCTTCTGTATTCCAACGAAGTTTCATCTCTCTTGCGGAGTCTAGATTGTGACTTGGAACGTGACTGATGCCTTCTCGATGTATGTGTAGATCGCCGTTGAGGATGTATATAAGAAGATGCTCGAGAAACAATCTGGGCATTAGAGTAAGGAGCTGCAATTGTAGCAAGTGGTATCTCCAATTGACTCGAATCCTTCCACTCCCTTCCTCTACTCGTCTCCCAAGTTTCATCAGTATCCCAAGAATCTGACGGCGTTTCTTCGCACGAATGCCACCCATTACCATAGCTGGAGATTTCTGTCTCCCACAAATGATCTTCGCTCTGGTTTGCATGGGCTCCTGTTTTGCTCTTTATCTCAACCTGGCCCCACCCATTTGGTGACTGGACCCAATCTGATGCTCGGTCACTGCGCTGATTGCGTTTGGATGGTGATGCCCTGAAGGAATGTGGTACCTGCACAGTTGCAGTATGTGGAGATTCTGGCCATGCACCAGGGGCCTGGCTTGTCTTGTCTTCTTTCTGTGATGAGTGGTCTGAATCTCTGTCATGTCGTGCAGACTGGGCTTCTACCCGTCGTGACTCCTCTACGCCCTGTTTGACTGCTGTCTTCAACACATTTTTCAGCCACACAGGGTCGACACCACTTGTTTCTGGAGTCGTAATCATATGATCGTCGCGATGAGCAACTTTTCTATCGGGTGGAATAGGTCCGCTACCGTATTGGAAGCCCGAAGAGGGAAGGCTTTCTAAGCGTCGTGCCCGCGGGCTGATCGCTTCCGAGTACCGAGAGCCGGACGTCGAGTGACGTGTCATAAATACTCTTGAACTTTTGTTCCGTACGGGGAGAGTGTTGTATTGAATCTGTGTCTTGGAGCTCTCGTGGCTCTGCAGTGTTTCAGCGTACGGCGCGCGATATGACGACCAAGGCGCTGGCGGACCAGAGATATTGTGGGAATTATTGAAAAACGGCCCGCGATCATCGTACATGGATCGATTGTGGGAGCTTGGTGAGTCTCCTAAGCTAAAACGATGGTCAGGCCAGTCACCAGCGCCGTCCAAGTTGATCGCCGAAGCAGATTTTGTGTCCCGACTACCAGCGCATCGCAGCACTACAACTTCAATACATCCTATGTTGTCAAGAGTGGCCGGTGAGTGCAGGTTCGACGCATCGTCCGCAGACGCTGCTGCTGATCAGTTACTGCCACAGAAACACACCATATCGCAACTCACCAATATCCAAATTATCAAAAGTCCACTCGCGCGCAATCATAGACCCATCCTTCTGTCTCTCCTCTTTCTGACGCACCCTAAAGTCCACCAAAGAGCGACTGTCTGACAGTTTTCGGGGCTTGATGTTTTGCCTGTTGCGATTGCACTGATAGATACCGTCAACGTAGACAAATATCGCGATGCCAGGCGCTATGAATGTGTTGGATGTGAGATGAATGGAGAAGGATTGTGGCTGGTTGGGTATAGGTACGAATGTCTCTACGAAGCCGTCGCCGTAGATGGTACCATACTCTGGTAATGCGTGTTGGGGTTGTGATAGTTCGATGCTGCAATTGAGGTCCTTCAGCGACGGCATTGTGAAGAAGAGTTACTTTGAAGGTTGTTGTGGGGTGTTTGCTCGCCGCTGAATGGGGTGAAGTCTTTGGTGTTACTGGGATGTCCAGGGTGAGGTCAAGTAAAGTGAAGGCTGCTTGGCAGTGACGATCGAGGACTCATGAGGAAGGAACGTCCACGGATATGTCTTTCACTGGTGCAAAGTATTCAAATACCTTTTTTCAAAGGCTGAGACTGCCTACAAGAAGAACTGGCGGTTGTCTATTCACAAATGTGTCATATTCACATATCCATGGCTCCTATAAACACGCTCCAAAAAACGTATATAGCGTTCAATCGTAAACAAACATTGTCCCCAGGTCACATATCATGGATATCCAACGAGATTATCCATAGACCAAATGCAGACAGCCGCGCCATCTCTTATCCAAAGTAAGTGGCACCATATTTGACATGTGTGTTGTTTACCTGGGTACACCAACACACAGTCAAACGATATCCGTGTCTTACGCCAGACACTTGTATCCAGATTGCATGAGCCCTCTCGCATAAATTTTACAACGCTTTTGTTTATGCCCTACGAGTCCGACTTCATCGTTCCGCAAAGCGAACAGGTCCACCATTGATTTTCCTGTAACCAGTCAGCAACACAATTCATACAAATTGTATTCTAGAAATAACCTTACCATGAAGGTCCCACACTCGAGACAGTTCCAGCCTATCCTGCCTCTTGCAGGTTCAAACGGCGTGGCACCCTGCCCTCGCAGTCCAGACTGCGGCGGTGGTTTGGGTAGAGTAGGTACCGTATATGACGATGCGAAGCGTTTATGTTCTGGTATGGGCTGGGGTGGCTGTTCGAGGCCACAGGCACCACAAGCAAGATAGTCGAGTGGGTTGTGTAGCGTGCATTGCGGACACGCCCACTTATTCGGGTCAGTAGGGAACGTGACAGATTGCTGTGGCGGAGATGGCCGCGGAGATGGCCGCGGTGGTGTGGGGGGAAGACGCTTGTTCCGTCGTTGCTCTTCGTCGTATGAGATAAGGCGCGAGGGTGTCCTTGCGGATGTTGAAGGAGTACGTGTTAGTGCTTTTGATGACGTTTGCGCAGTTGATCGTGGCAGAGGTTGGCCTGGAAGAGGGTAGGTTGTGCTGCGTGTAGGGTGAGATTGAGTTGGTAGAGCTGGCGAGATGCTAGGGGAAGGTGGTGCACTGTCGAACTGTAGTCCGTTTTGAGGATCCCAACTTAGCCCACCGTTTCCAGTCGGGGCGCCTAATCTCTGCATTTCTTCGTCGTACATGAGATCTTGCAGGGCTTGGGCAATCGCCCAATCATTGGCATCGTCTTGCTCAGCTGTGGTGCGGAACCTGTCCTGCTCTTGCTGATTGACCTGGTTGACTAGCCGCTGAGTCTCAGAGCTTCCGCTTGCACAACCTTCGGTGATGCTGTTTCTGCGTGAGGCCGCGTCTGCGATGACTTTACGCATATCAACACCGCGTGCTGTAGGCCGTGAACCACCTAAGCGATGCCCTCCTGCGCTGGCGTCGGTCGACGTTCGTCGCTTCTCAGCAGCGACCCGAGCCTGGCGGCGCATCTCGTCGAGCGGTATGCGCCTACCGCCGAGTTTTTGGCCTTGCGTCAGGAATCCCTCACCAGTGTAACCCTTCGCAAGAAGAGACTGATGCTCCTCCCGAAGTTCGTTCCAGAGATTGTTAAAGTCGACATTGTGAGGGCCAATGACTATGTGGCAGAGTTCATGCAGTAAGGTATCTGTGACTTGCTCCAGGGACAGAAACTGCCTGGAATCATAGTGATATCTCAGCCGGATCAGGATCCTCTCTGTGCGGTTGATGTTAAGGCCTGGGAGCCAGTCAGTCGAGTATCTCGGGGGCGGCTTCCGCCCTCCTACCTAGCAGTTGAGGCTCATCAGGAAGGAACTCGGCAAGTATTCCAACCTTCCAGCCTCGTTTCCTCATCATGGGTTTGACCATGGACGCAGCCTTACGGAGGGTATGCAGCGCCTCGCCATCTCGTGGAAGGTGTTTCAGGTGCTCATAGGCATCGAAATGCGCATCAATTTCCCTCATGGTGTGGCGGTGTTCCTACAAGTCAAGGCCGTGCACTTTGAGTTGTTGATGGGTCGTCCTTGGATGCAGTGCAAGGTCCTCTCTTTCGTTGTGCTGGCAGGCAATTTTTATCAAGGAAATGCAAACAGCCCCTGAAGGGGCGAAGAAGCAGATGAATTAAAAAAGCCAAGATTTGCTAGGAAAGGGCTTGAGGATACCGACAGCCACGTAAGCAGTTCACGCGTTGTTCTTGGTGGTTGACGACGACGATAGCGCCGGACGGAGTCAGTCTATGCCACCAGGCACGGCTATTTACAGCCTATTATTGTCTAAGCGAATGTGAAGCACGAGCGAGTGCAGATAAGGCCTGCAGCTGCAGGCCTATAAAAGGGACCGTGTCCACGAGAGAGAAGACGGTGGCGCAAAAGCCACTGGCCCTCACGTGCGACCGTGTCTGGGATGGTCGCGCGAGTCATTGGCCGGCTTGACGTAGTGCACTTGCGTGCTTGCGACAACCTCTGGAGGCGACATCTGGCAAAGTTTGAAGCACCGCCTGTTGGAACAAGTTTGTTTTTTTAAGCTTGAACACGTTCTGAAACCTGCCAAAGCATGTCCAACAACGACCAGCAAGTTCTCGGCGTGGTGAGTGGGACGGCATTCTCCATCTGCTCCTAGCTGACGTATACAAAGCTGGCTGAGTACTCTAGAGACGTTCGCAACTTCACGGGATCGATATGGGACGCAACAGATGCGCATTTTGCATATGTAGCTGGATATATTAAAAAGAGCCTCCCCGAGACATGGCTTCCGGAGCGCGCGCGACCGCGGCCACCACCTCCACCCCCGCATCCTATTGCTGGCGCCTACCTACATCGCCTCCAGGACTGGGCCCTCAGGCACCGCGCTTTGACAGCCGCCATTATTGCATTCTGTGCGACTGGGGGATTCTTAGTATGGCAAGAGCAGAAGCGGTACAACCGTAAGCGCCGAGCGAAACGAGCGGGCAATGGAGCGAGGATGGAAGTTGTGGGTGAGTATGCGACACAGTCAAGCCTAGTTGGAGGATGGAGCTGACAGGTACAGTCCTCGCGGGGCCGCCAAATTCGCCCATTGTACGATCGCTATCGCTCGATCTTGAGCGACGCGGCTTCATTGTATACATTGTATGCTCCAATATGGACGAGGAGCAACAAGTTCTAGGCGAGTCAAGGGCCGACGTGCGGCCACTGCACTTGGACGTAGTCGACACAATGGGCACGCAAGAGGCCATGAGGCGTTTCAATGAGCTTCTCACCAAACCACATGTTGCCTTTTCCGGGGCAACCCCGCATAACCTTAATCTGCGCGGTGTTGTTCTGGTTCCTGACTTGATCTACCCTACTGGCCCTGTAGAGACGGTCAGTCCTGAGCTCTGGTCGGACGCGCTCAACGCCAAAGTGCTCAACACGATTGCAGTGACGCAAGCGTTGCTGCCGACAGTGTGCGAGTTCAAGTCGCGCGTCCTAATGCTTACCCCAAGTATCATTGCGTCATTGCGGCCGCCGTTCCATAGCGTGGAGACGACGATTGTCAGCGCACTCGAAGGGTTCCTGGCGTCGCTCCGAGGCGAGCTGGGTACCCTAGGCATTGAGGTGTTGCAATTTCATCTCGGAACATTTGATCTGACAAACGTGGGCCCCAAACATCATGTGCAGTCGCGGTCGATCGGCAGCCCACATGCTTGGCCAGCAACGACGAGAGCGTTATACGCAAGCAATTTCGAGGCCCAAGCACGCGTTGCGCAGAGCCGGGGCCTGCTCAACCAAAGCGGCAGCTCAGTTCGGGAGCTACACAATGGCGTGTTCGATGCGCTCACACAGCGACGACCGCAAAAAGTATGGCGTGTTGGGCGTGGAAGTGTCACGTATGATCTGGTGGGCAACTGGGTGCCGCGTGGGCTCATAGGATGGATGATGGGCTTGAAGCGCGTGGCTCTCGACACTGCATCCAAGCCGAGGCTGGAGGACAGCGTACAACTACAGTGCTGGGAGAAGGTCGATGCGGTCGCCTAGACGGAACGGCATACGAACAGTCTGGGGTGACAGGATGCAGGTGCATGGCAGATGGCGTGTGGAGGGAAGTTTGATGACTATCCACGTCATAGTCGGACTGTGCTTGCGGGAGCTACAGGGCGCCATGGCACCGGTGTGGACAGTGAAATTGCAGCGCACACGTGTGTTGTTATTTTTTTTCAGCTTGTGTGCGCGGTGTTAGGTAATGGCGGATGAGCGATGGATTGAGTTTTCCTTCAGCATTGGAGGAGCAGCGAGATGAAACCCGGGTTGGAGAAGGGGATGGGCTTGGCGGCGGTGATGGGCTAGCGGCGCCCCTGCAGGGTTCATTCACGAGCAAGTGAGCAAGTGAGCAGGTGGTGGGTTAGTACATAAACGTAGCGAGGCGAGCAGTGACAGCCGGGCCCCTTGTGTATAGGTTAGACGGGCTATTGTCTACAAATCTCAGCTCTCGACATCGGGCGTTGCAAGAACAGTGGTTCGCAGGATGGGCAGCAATTTAAATGAGCAAAAAAGTTCTGGACCGTGACATGGTGCTCGGGTGCGCGGGAGCAAATGAGCAGCGGCAAGGAGGGCGCGACGACGGCATTTTGGCAGTGCTAATGATTATTGGCGGCCGTGGCCCAAAGCGGCCGCGAGCCGACGAGGGCGACTACGCGTGGTGCTAGTGAAACGAGGCAGTTGGAGCCGTGGGTGCTGTGTCGCAGGTGTGGTGGTGGGGGTTTGGCAATGAGTGAGACGGTGCTGTGTGGCATGGGGGCCTGATGGTGGTGGGCGTTGTCCTGGCATGGTGGTGGTCGTAGTGTAGGCAGTTGATTGACCATCATGGGGGGACAATACAGACAGCATGATGACGCTCATGTCGTATAGACAGCCGCCTACTGCACGCTACACACCAAGTACATTGCCGTGGTCATGCAGCAATAGGGAAGGCGGCGCGAAATGTCAATAGTGAGGGCCGTATAGGGCGGCGGTGGTGGCGTCGTGTCACGCTTCACGGCGACTGGGGGGCGGCGGTGGCGCAGAGACCACACCGTTGTCGATGCAGGGCCGATTCGTAGTAGCGCGCCCAATTGGTGACGGCTTTGGCTCCCTCTCTCGCACCGGGCTCCACCGCGGGTTTCAGGAGGTGTAGGTTTGGCTATTATTGCCCTGCAACAACTGCCAGATACACTACACTACAATACCCACCCGAGCCCCGACTCTTCACACCACCCTCGCCTCCCGCCCGGTCTTTCTCGACGCCTGCCGCCGTCGTATCCGCTCCTTCGCGCTGCTCCCGCTGAGCCTTCAAAGCCCGACAAGTCCATGATCGCGTCACATCCTTCTGCTCCTCCTCCCCCCCTGCAGGCACAGCCGCCGCCGTCATCGCTATCGCCATTGCCATTGCCATCGCCCGCCTACTAGAAATACTACCCATTACATTTGCCCGATCCGAGGCGGCGCGCATGACAGCCCGGCCTCATCAGCCCTTTGCTGCCGATTCCATGCACCACCCCTGCTGAATTGCCTGCCCTTTGCTCACTGACTGCTCACTCCCTCCCGCCTTCACATACCATGGCAAACCGGCAGCAGCGCCCGGGTGGCCTCGACCTCCGCTCCCAGTCGTTTGACCCTTCCTCCACCTCCACCTCCAACAACGCCGGCTTGTACGCAAACACCAACAACAGCAGCTCTGGCTTCGGCAACATCGCCAGCGCCAGCGCCAGCATGAGCAATCTGTCGCTCATATCTGACCTACCCAGCCCACGCACTGGCGAAGCGCCCCCCGCTCTCTCTCCCCTCGACGCCCTCGCCCTCCAGGGCAGACTGCTCGCAAAGCGCTTCGAGCAGCAGGACAAGACTGGCCGTCGCCTCAGCCGATTGGCCCCTCTCACCATCCAGAACGAGTTTGGCAACCGCCCTGGATACTTTTCCTCTCTCTCAAACTCGACCGTCAACTCGCCCAACGAAGATGCAGGTCCATTCAAGTCCCCACGGCCCGAGCCGTCTCCGCGCCAGGAAGTCATGGAGAGGCACAAGTCCTGCTATCCTCAGTTCGGCAACGATGAGTTAGAGCCCCAGTATGCCGTCGGCCCTCTGCAAAGCCCCATGGCCACTATTGCAGAGGCCAGTCCTGCCACTCCGCCCCGCGGCTACTTTGATCTGCCCAGGTCTCACTCGCCCGAATCTGTCGAGCCTCAGTTTGGACTCCGCGAAGCCACGCCCGTCACTCCCAATGTCCCGGCTCCAACCTCGCAAATGTTCCTGAGCCCGCAAAGGAAGCCATCCGGTGACTCGCAGCACCAGTCGCCGCACAACCGGTCCAACCTGCACCCACCCCGATCGTCCAGCTCCTTGCGCTCCAATCGCTCTCCACACCTGTCACCCAGCGTCAGGTCTGTACATGGCGACTGCTACGGTGAGGTTGAAGACATGTCGTTGAGCGGATCATACGACTCTCTGCACCAAAACCGTAACCTGTCTCCCAGTTCCAGCGTGTCTAGAGCCCATTCCCCCGTCGCTCCTGCTGCGACACACAACATGTCTCGATCACCATCGGCAGCATCTGATTATTCTGTCGGCAGCGCAAACCTTCCACGTCCAGCCTACAACTTCTCAAGGCCCATGAGTCGTGGAGGCTCACGTCCATCGCTGGATGTCAGGTCCACTGACGGACCGTCGCGCCAGGCGTCGGACGACAGTGCGTGCATGAGACCATCTTTTGACAATCAACTCCAACAACAAGATTCGAACGATGCGCCCCTTGCGAACTACGGTAACGAGACCGTCCACACACCCGTGAGCATGGCTAGCGAGGACTTCCGACGATCGGGCGATTTCACTAACAACCCGGCACCATCGTACACTTATACCAAGTTCAACCTTCCTCGCGGCAGGCCTGTCGATCGTCGGTCTGTCGGCGTTGAGGACTTCCTCAACAGCCAGATTAAGTGGGATCAGCCCAAAAAAGCTAACCAGGCTCAGGCCCGGCCACCCTCACCCGAGTCGCCGCCGCGTTCATTTAACCACGGCGCACCCTCTCTTACATCTAGCAACAGCACAATCCGCCCTCGAACTGCCGGCTCTACTAGCGACTTGACTCCCCAACAACATTGCGACATGGGTATCGAACTCCATGAAGCAGGCGAGCTCCTGAAATCCACCTACCATCTCCGTCTTGCAGCCCGCGCTGGTCTTCCCGAAGCCATGTTCTGGTATGGCCTGGCCTGCCGACATGGCTGGGGCATGCGTGAGAACAAGGCCGAAGCACTGCAGTGGCTGCGACGCGCCGTCGACTCTGGACATCTGGAAATCGCCGACGACGAAGATCAAACCAAGAACGGCCAGCCCACCGATCAGTTAAAGAAGAAGAAGCACCGCGCCCAATATGCAGTAGCCATCTACGAGCTTGGAAAATGCTACGGTAACGGCTGGGGATGTGCCCAGGATAAGTCGCTTGCTCTTCGCTGCTACGAGATTGCCGGAAACTGGGGCGATGCAGATGCTCTCGTCGAAGCCGGTTACTGCTATGCTGAAGGAGTTGGCTGCAGAAAGAACATGAAGATGGCTGCCAAATTCTACCGCGCAGCCGAGGCCAAGGGTGTCAGCATGGTTGGCAACAGCTGGATCTACAAAGACAAATACATGGACGACGGCTCCTCTGCCTCGGACGCGCGCTCAGTCCGATCTGGCCGCTCTACCACCAAGGACCACTCTGAGAAGAAAGCTCGCGACAAGAGCAGGACTCGCGCCATCTTCAGCCGCAAGAAGAGCGTTGGGACTCAGTCTTGATTGTCCTCTCTCCACTCCTCATCTTCCTCCTCTTCCTCCTCACACTATACCTTGTAAATGTGTCCACGACTATTTTCATATGCGCTTGGCGACGGCGTCTAGGCGTAGCGACTCGGGTTTGTCTGATTTTTAGTCTTTCATACTTTGAGGGGCGTGTGTGTTTTCGCGGCCCCCCCCCGGTGTCTCTACTCTGCCTTGCCGCTTTTGGTTTCCAAAATGTTTTCCATCTCGTTTTTTTCCTTTCATTTCTCTTTTTTTTCCCTTTTTCCACCTCTCTCTGTTATATTCACGAATGAACCTTGCCTGGTGCTTGGGCTTGAACACCTTTTTCGTGGCTTGAAAACATGCTGCCTCTTACCTACTATACTCCTGCGTGTATGTGTGTGAATGTTTTGAAATATTCATTCGCCACATGACATTACGTTCGAAACATCCCTCTTCGACATCTTGAACATATCTGTTTTTTTTTTTGCTCTCTGATTTTATTTTATTTCCTTGTGCTTGTCTTGTTTCTCTTTTTGTTTTCATTTTCCTTATCTCTTATTTCCTTACTGTTCTGGTTTTTTTTCCTTTGTTTATACCACTGTTGCGTCATTTCGGTCTACGGGACCTTTCTACTTTTCCTTGTGTTTGCAAAAGGGTAGAAGGAGTGGAAAGGCTTCGAGAAAAATCATCCTTTCTCTCCCTTTTTTCCTTTTTGCTTGTATTCTAAAATCTAATACCCAAACTGGGGAGAGAGCTCTGGTGGAAATACCTGACTAGACTCCCTTGTTGGTGTTGTAGGGGGGGCGTCGACAATGGGACGAGGAACTTGGTTTGAAATTTTCCTTGTATCATCGGATTGTTCATTGTCTGGGGGTGGGGGAAAGGTGGGGGCAAACATGAGAACACCTTACTGTGTGTAGGGGGTGGTGCATAGGTTGGATTGGGTCAGGTTTAGGGGAGTGTACGATAAGGTTCCGCGTGAAAACGGTGCTTTGCGACTTCTTCCTTTTTTTTTCCCTGTCTTGTATGTAGGAAATACCAAAGAGGAAGATTTTTAGATGACTGTAACTGGTCACTATCTTCTTGCCAAATACCTTTTTGTGTCTTTCTGGGTGATTGGATCTTAAGTCAACATGCATCAGTGGGGGTTTCTCCAGGACACCCCAAAAATCCTTTTACCACGATGCCAAAGACTCCGCAAGGTCAAGAGTTTGAACCTCCTCCCTCTTCAAAAAAAAACT